CGAAAGCGCTCGTGTGTTTAGCCATGCGAGAAATTAAACGAATAATTATTGTAGTAGTAACAGAAGCAGTAATAATGGTAACAATATGGTTAATACTATTAGAACATCAAATAATATTGCCGCTATTACTATCATTGTCAATCACCACTGCTACTGTTACGGCTGCTATTACTAAGATTGCAAACGTAATTCACAAGCACAGCTACTAACCTTACTACGGATAGAAATATTTGTTTGCTTATGTTAATACTACGATTTTTATTTTTACTGCTACTACTAATACTACTGTCACTATTAACTTTATTATACTGGTAGTACTATCATTGCTATTACATTCATCAAACAAGTTATTATCATCATCATGGCTATTATCATTACATTTACTATTAGTAGTAATATTATTGTTATTTTTGTTCTTAATTCTTATTATATTTATTATTATTGTTATAATTCAATGGTTCCCGAGAACCTTAGATATCCGGATAAAAGCTTAACATCAACTAATTTCGATGAGTTGCAGAGGCAGCTTTTTCTCAAGCATTAGCATTAAAATTTTATAAATTATATTATCGAAATATCTGAAATCACTCTAAATTCGGTCAAGTACTTATTTCGAAACGATTCATCTAAGAACCTAAGTTGAATATCACGGTAAATGTATTTCAAGTCTTCGGGATACACTTGGAGTAAACACAGTTTAAAAGAAATAAATTAAAGGAAATGCATTTTTAAGTTTCAATAGATGCTTAAGATTTCTTTTCGCGCATTGGAATAACATAGTACTAACTTACGTTGCACTTGATGGAAGTCTTTTGGGGCAGCGACCTGAAGCGCCAATACTTTTTCTTTCTTTTTTTTTTTGGTTTTCTTTTCTTTTTTTTAGACAAATACGTGATATAATATACATTTGAAGTTATATAAACTACTTATCAGCTTTCATAAGCTTTCTAACAAGTTGTTTAGTAAGTGAATACTACTACACTAACATTATTAGCAATTCATATTAATAGTAGATAAAATATTAATAAGCTTCCTCCAAAATATTACAAAATGGGTATGATTAAGTGTACATCCTTCTTCGATACATTATCATCTATGTTTAGTAATGTTGTATAAAGTTAAATTATTGAAGGCAAATTCTTCGAAGAATGTCTTGCAGAGGAAGATAACAAAGATCTAAATAAAACACTGTTTGAATAAGACGACACTGCCTTTGTTATATAGTAAACATGTATGTCTGTTACTAAAAGAGAAAAAAGGAAATCTAACATTTATGACTGAATACATATATCAGTCTATATTATACTCTCTGTCCATATGGCATTTACTTGCACTACCAAAGACAGTAGTTAAATGGTAAAAAATGTTTTCTAGTATCGACTTTCTTTGGTTTTCCGAACATACTACTGGGAATTTTAATATTTTAAGTAGTTTTCTATCTACTTACACATCTATCAATAATTTCACACCCACTAAAGTGTACACATAAATTCATTACATTCTATAACTTTTGAATAAATATGGAAATTCTAACATATACATTTTCCAAACTTTTGATTTTTAAAGAATGAATCTTTTAAATTTCAGATAATCCCAAACTAAATATACCAATTTTTTTTTGATCCCTTCATTTGTTTCTTATTATATTAATCTAATCTTTTTCTTTCGAAAGAAACTAGTTTTCGACTGTTTGATTGCTTATAAAGCGTTAATGGCCCAGATTTGTTCACTGTTTGCAACTTTTATTTACTAGTAAACATAGGGCGCATAAAATGATTTAAATCTCTAATGTTCAAATGCTAAAAGTCCTGACAAAAACAAATTCCAGAGAATCGTTACGATTTTATGTTAATATTTAAAATGCATCGGCACTTGACACAGATTGAAGTTAAAGTTTAACCTCGTGCGTTTTCTGCATTACCGGATTGTAAAAAAGGAGCTTTAGTCCTGTCACTGAACAGAACTGAAGGTCTGAGGGCGTTATGATACACTTTAACACATCAGAAAGAAAATATTGTGCAATGAATAAACACTTTTTTTTCCACATCGGTATGTTTATCAGTCCATTCAGGTACCTTTGACGTTGAAATCATTCAGAAGCACGCATACACGCACTACTCACACAAACGGACACACCAGACGCATATATACATGGATTCGTTAACAGGCACACATAAGCTATCCACGTAGTCACATGCACACCACAGAGGGTGAAGGGACGATGAGAATTAGTCATCAGTAAGGCTTCGCCTAGATCTCTATTCTACATCTTATTTTCACCCCTCTCGTATTATCGAACCTCCCTCCCAATGGTCCAATCAGAAATATACAATATCATCAACGTCTATATTTATCTTGATTAGTCTTTTAAATTTTCAAAGTCAATACCTTCTTCCCTTTTATAACACAAATGTCCAAACCTAAATCACAACTGGTTAAATCATTTTTTTCGACAATATTGGTAAAACAAAAGAAATGACCATAGAACGCTAAAATCTACTTAAAACAAATACATACTTGAGCATAGGCGCATATACATATATTCACGTGTATATATTTCAACCAAATTATTGTAATATATAATTTACTCTATACTGATTATTCAATTGTGATCATAGTAGCTATATTTTAATTTTAATTATAATATTAAATGATACTTTCATCAGGCACTGAATGTTCGGAATAAGTATAAGAAACCAAACGTAAAATACTTCACAACGCTAGTGTACACTTCATATGTACATGCGATCAAATTTATCATTATACCGAAAAATATGCATACAAGTAGAGAATCGAATTTGAAAAATAATGCAATATATAGAATAAGTACACAAAAAAAGTATGACCTGAAAACTCGAAGTTCCTTCGAGAAAGAAAATTTGTTTTAGAATATGAAATCAAACCGTTTACGTATAAATTTCTTGAATAGATTTTTTGTCTATTAACCAATGGGAAGTGGTGTAATATTCTCCCCTCTATCAATCACTTTACAAAGAACATGGAGGGGGGGGGGGCAACAGACAGACCGACAGACACACAAATAGGCAGGCAGACAAAGATAGCTAGAGAAAAAACATCAAATTGCCATTTCGTTATAACACTATAATTAGTAAATGGTAAAGAGACACGCTGGACATTGGCACGACAGGTGGCATTTAGATTTAATATAGAATAAACTTTACGTTATTGCGATAACATTTGGTATCGTTTTTGTTGTCGTCGCAAGAATTCGGACCCCGATATACTACCCCTTTAAAGGTGTCTGGACATAATAGGACGAAGAATCGATTTTTAGTTGAATTAGTAGCAGCTTGAACATTTTACCGTGACTCGAGTAATGTAACAATACACGTCGATGACATATGATTATAATTAACGCTTCATTCTCTATGGAAAATAACAGTAACAATACTAATATGCCAACTTAATTTAAATTAACGATTTTTTAATCGTTTTTGTCGACTTTAGTCAAATTTGAAGGTTCTAACGGTTACGATAATGTACAAAAATAATTACCATCCATATTATTATTATTATTATTATTATTGTTATTATTATTATTATTATTATTCTTGCTGGCAACAATCGCCTAAGTCGTTCTTGCTACTGTTACGTGTAAACTAATGAAAATTCCACTAAAAAGTCGATTCTCTATTCTCCGTTGCTAATGGAAGAGGTAGGTATAGCCCGTAGTATCGACGCGAATCTTCGCTTCGTTACTTTAAAGATCATTCTTCTATTCCTCTTATTTCTTTCTTTCGTTTTTTTTCTTTTTTTTTTGTTCCGTTTATATATTATTTAAGTTTGCCACTTTTTCTGTTTTGATTAGATTGGTACAGTCTACGTTTGATATATAATGCGCATTGCAGTTTCGATTAAAGGAAACTGTTTAGAGCAAAAGAGTGGAACACTCGTGGGACCATCGATCATATTTTATTTTCTTACACGCACATTCCTAAGAACGCGTTGGCAGCGCCACAGTTAAAACTAGCCGACGTTTCATTTCTTTTACTTTTTATCTTTGAACCTAATTGGCTGCGGTGTAGACGCTTAGTTTTTTTTTTATTTCTCTATCGTTTGTGCTTCAATTCCCGAAATACACGATAACAGTTGAAATTTCTATTACTTCAATGGAACTGTTTGCACATCGATGTTTTAATATTGATCGTATGCACGCGCATGTTTACACATAAATAAATTATACCATTATCGAAACAAAATTATACACCAATAATACATATCATGCTAAAAAAGACCACGTACACAGTCATCAATATTATTACAGAAGGGCAGCGCGCGTATATAATTATTGTAAGATTTGTATAAACTTACGAATTAAAATGTAATAATATGCGTTTATTAAATACAACGCATCAGCAAATATACGAGCCATAGAATTACTACTAGATAAATCTCAATAACAACAGGTCGAAATATTAAATACTGAAAAATGCAATATTTCATTGATTTAAAATCAGACCTCTTTCTAGGGTATTGCACTGCGGTAGCGTGCACGTACGTGCATTAAGAAATAATATCAAAATTATTAAAACATCGATGAATAGTATGCGGCAGCATACCGAAGTTCCAACTTAAGCTTTGTAGAATATTAATAATACATGTTCGTTGATTAAACAGAATGTTAGAAAAGACACGATACCAACAAAAAAAAAACACGATCTGCACAGGAAGAATAATACTAATTCAATAACTGAAACGCTGTGAAACGTGTCGACTGAAACTGACGTGCATCACGCACGTTCATTGGATAAAATTAGTATTATCTTAGAATATCAAAACACCAAAGGTTGTAACATAAGCGATATAACGGTAATACTAATTTAAGGTTTAAAACGACATAGTACGCGATCATCGTATAGTACGCGTAATAATAACAGTAGTTACGCGAATCATTAATTGTAATTGGTACTACCCGAAACCATCGAGAAAACACAGCGCACACCGAAAGCCTTGAAATTCATAACATACCTCCTCCCCGGCGTGAATCCTGATTTCAATATTCTATTGGAGAAAAAATGTCAAATCGGATTCCTACTGCTGGCGGAATCACGCGATATATCATGGTGCGCGCTAGCGCGCGGCACTAATTTAAGTAACTTGTTCAAGAGAACCGACTCATCTGACAATGCGCAATATAATTGACGTATCACGAAGAAGAAGGCTTGATCGTCGAACGAGTGGTATCGCCTTTCCGTGCGGCACTCTACATCGACTCACCTCCCAGAAGGTCTCCGGGTAAGTACGAGTTCAGAGAACTGGGCGTAGCACGTTGTTGATCGTTGTTGTCGATGCTGGCGTTGCTCCAAAGAGAGTTACTACTAGGTGGGGCGCCCCACAGTTGGCTGGAGCTGCCGCCCCAAGTATCGGGTGGTGGACCAGTTTTGTTCGATGGTCGAAGGCCCCAGCCAGCTCCTGCAGTAGCTCCAGTCTGCTGCTGACCACCATGACCCAGCTGTTGTAGCAATGCATGTACCTCGCTATCGGCGGGATATTCTGCGAAGATTGTTGTGTTGCCCAAGACGCAATTGTTCAGAGCCCCTTGTGCCTAGAATATCATACAAAATGTTCCTTAATTTCTTTTCTCAGATTATCGTCACACTATTCAGAATATTCAGATGCATACAATTTCTGCACTAGACTTATTTAAAGAACTAAAAGGAGCGTTTACCCGGGGGTTAAGTTACCTCGACTTTTCCACCTGATCCAATTTTATTAGGCCCGGGCCAGTTGGAGGCACGAGTGTAACCTAAACCTACTGATTACTGATTACTAATAGCATTTTCTCTGAGGAGTTGATTGTCGGAACATTCGCCTGCCAATAGGGGCGAGTCGAAGAACTAGTTAGTTAGTTAGTTTGTTAGTTAGGAACGTGATCTCCCGGGAGAGGGGAGTGTCGGTATTCCCCTCAGAGGCCTTAGCTTGGCTCATGTGCACTAGTTTTCGCAAAGCCCCACAATTGGGGCTAGGGTAGGCAGAGCCGAAGAACTAACCTAAACCTAACTCAAATCTAACCCAAAACTAACTCAAACTTAAAAACGAAGCAAAAATTAAAAAAAAAAAAAACATTTTGTAACATGTATAGGGAAAAGTTAGTCAGAAAAAAGACAACGTATTTCAAGGTCATCAAAATTGGTGAGGAATACTTAAAGTAAATAATTACCGATAATAATTCTAAATAAATATTAAAAATAAATTATATGAAACTATACAGCATAAACACCATATTTCGATCATTTAAAAATCGGTGTGAGAGACTGACACGAGTGACTATGCAGTGGAAAATCACACGAGTCTCGAAAGGTTAAGTAGTTGTAGGAAAATATTCTCTATAACATCATGTCCGATTGGTTTCCAGTTTACAGTACAATAAAGCTTCCTTTAACGTTCAATCGTCGGGTTCGATTTGGAACTGTTCTGGATCCAGGTCGATGAGTTTGACCTGTGAAATATAATGAAAGACAAAGCTTCCGTAACGAGTTTACTGTTTTATCCACAATCTAATAAAATACGGAAGAGAAGGATGACATTCCAACATTTACTTTTGTCTTCATAAATTATATTATAAACTGTTATTTTGCATAAAAATCTGCAGTTTAGTAATATAGTTCTTATAAAAATATTTCAGATATTTTTTTATATCAGCAACCGTTCGTGTTAAAGAAGTGGAAACCGCTCCAAAAGTTGAGCGGTTGTTGAAACAAAAAGAAAGGTAAATACGTAGCAGAAAGATAACATAATTAACAAGCACGGAACGTAATACAGTGTCGTAATAAACGTATAGCTACGCATAAATAATACTGTACCTTAACAGCTTCGTCTCTTGAAGAATACTTGGTTAATGCAATTCCGTGATTAAGGAATAACCGAAAGTCCAGAACAGGACCGTGTTGCATACAAAGAGTTTTCAACGTGGACCCATCGATCTGAGGCGTCAGATTCTTGAGTAATAACCAAGTAGAAACCCAGCTAGTGTTTGTGCTTGATTGGAGGGCCCAAGAACTGGACGATCTGCTAACTGTACCGAGGCCTGTCCAGCCATTACTTGTATTTCCTGCGGCTTTGCTACTTAGACCAGGCGGTGGCCCACGAACTTTACTAATAGGTGCTCCCCACAGTTCTGAAGTGACTGCAGTTGGTGGTGGTGCAGACTCGCCCCAAGTGTTTTTAGAGCTATAAATAATGTTTGTTTATTTCGAATGTTTAAAATAGAACATATAGTATATACATACAGTATGTCCGTTTTAAGTGTCTTTACAGTTTATAATAACTCAACAAAATATTTCGACAAATACAACTGTATCTAGTGTTTTAAATACATCTCGATGTCAGCTATTGGAAAATATGATAAAAAATGCAGGGTTCTATTCAAAAATTCAGAGGTGACCTTCACAGCACATTCCAAGATTACCTTAAGGACAAACAATTATCTTCAAAATACCATATAAGGTTCATCTGAAACATTTTTTCGTATTGCTGATATCTACAGAAATAATCAAGTGTAGATACTTAAAACAGACATACTGTATGTATAATCAGGGAAAACGAGAAAGTTTCATACATTATAAACAAGCATTGCTCCGCTGCCTGATGAAATAAAATGCGATAGATGGCAGACGAAGTTAAGAAGAATGTAATGCAACTGTTAGGTTTCTATATTAAATATTGCAATTCAACATGTTTATTAGTCTTCAAAATGCTACGAAATGTTTGAAATTTCAAGACAGTAATAAAGTTGAATAGTACAAAAGTAAAATAGTTGCAGCGGTGAAAAAAAAAATGTTGAATTGCAATTTCCTCGTCTTAACTGTTGTAAAACATTAACTGTAATAAAATGAGTGAAACAAAAGTTATTTTACATTTGAAATTAATAAAATGTACCTGGTGAACACACTGGGGGTAGATGCAGGTGGATTAAATGTCCATGTAGAATTACTCAAACTTGGTATAGAAGTATCGAGATTGGTAGGTTGTTGTGGCGGCGGCGGCGAAGTTTTGCTACTTAACGAGAAAATAGCATCTGGATCTTTGATTGTAGCTAGTGACAGTGGTGAACGGACCACAGAACCGGGAGTAATGCTTGGATCATCCTCAATGCTTTTCATCTGGGTACCCTAAAATGAAATGAAATATAGGTGGACCTGAATTAACCTAAAAAAAAGTCCAATCCAGCATATGTAACAGTTTTCTACATATCGGCCTGTAGTTTATATTAACAAATTTTGTACGATGATAGAATGATTTTAGTTTCGTTCTGTATTTTTTTAACTCATCAAGGATGAAGACTCCGTGTATTAGAGGTCTGTAACGGGCGGGTATATATGTACACGGGTCTACCCGTCAGTCTTTCGATTCACCAGAACTAGCCCGAACCTGGTGCCGGGCCAGCGGGTCTGCGTAGATTTCTAGCCGCTCATGCTTGCCCGAAGCTACCGCAACGTGTAATCGACTGAAGCTACCGCAAATGCCCCACTGCCCCCGCCCCCCTTGGCTACGCCCATGTAAACATAACTACGAAAAATATCTGAAAATTTGATTCATTAATAGATTACAGTAACTTATGTAACACCATGTACAGTCGACCGAACGGGAAAAACGAGGAACTTGCCGTTGTCCCTGAAAGGTTAATCAAACTAATGTATTAAAAACTAGTTACATAGGTATTTTTATAATTATAAAACTGTTACTGAAAACCGTTTTGTTGTGAACTGAGTAGTTCGAGATATATTGAGGAAAATGTGTTATTCATCCAGATAACAAAAACAACTGAAGAAGTTCTACACACTTTATAATAATATCATCCGCCAAACAGTATCCCAAACATGTTTAAACGACAATTTATTCCTCATCAACCTAATAATATCAAGCCAACGACTAAATGAGAAACGTAATACTGAAATTTACTTGCTATGTATGAATACTGAATGACTTCCACTAACCTTCTATTACTTCGTAATTATTGCAATTATGTATATACATCAACTTTATCAAAGATTACATTATTAGTTCAGTGTAATTTGAATCTTGCTGCCAAACTTATGTATGTAAATCCATTAGCGTAACTTGATACTTTATAAACGACATCCGTCGCCTATAAATGTATTGCAAGTATAACAACTGTTTGTCCAGTTATATCTATTTCTATTCTTTGAAAATTTTCCTCTTCGTTTAGTTAACAAAATTCTTTTCAGTAATAAATAAGATATTAATGCTAAAGACTGTAAAGAATAGTATTATCGCTCACTTCAAGCAATTCAATGTAGTCATTAAATTGTGGATGTTAATGCAAATTCAACTTTCGCATATTAATTTTTGAAAATGTAACGTTAAACAGAAATTGTTTTTCTCTGATTATTGTGTATTGAAATATTCTATAAACGCATTCATTAAACCGTGTAATGTATTCCTATTACACTTATTAAAGAAAAATATTATAGAATGCCCAAAAAATAAATTGCATAAAAAATTTTAATCTTCGTAATTTAGAAACAAAAATTAGAATCACTACATTAAATTACCATAAGACCTGAATGACCATGCTTGAAACCTGCCCCAACTCGTCAAGATTTTCACACAAGGTATTAAAGAGATTAATCACTGATGTTTGTTAATATAATAACAATATATATAAACGCACGTACGTATAGCCAATGGAAAAGAGATATAGGTACTGAAAAAGTTTCTTGCCATAGGAAGTACGGTATTGGAAATGGATTACCTTCCATGGCTTGCCAGGTTCAAATTCAGGTACCAGGTCAGTGAAAGCAGCTGCACCAGTTGGTTGCCACTCCTTTCCATCAGTAGAGTCCGTGTTACCTGGATCAGGCCATCCACTCTCCCCGAGCCTGGTGGACCATGTACCATCCCCTTGACCCAACAAAGGATTCATGTTAGGACTACTGTGTGATTGTGTCAAACCAGCCGATGTAGCTGCTGGCTTACTGGTTGTTCCGGGTGCTCTTGAGAATTCGTTCGAAACTAACTCTCCGTCCTTGTCCAACGAAGGCAACTTCCACTGGTTCAGTCTTGATTGTTGCTGATTCTGTAACAAAATATTATTTATTATTACTCGGTAAAGAGCGTTCGAAGAGAATTAAAGATTTCACCTATTTGTTTAAACATTTTCATAACTAAATCAAAGCAGTTTAATATACCTTAAAATCTCATATCATGTTTTTCTTATACAAACTGGTTCATTCTTCGTTGCCCTACTTCACTGATTATCAATATGTGCCGTTTACTATATTGATCAAATGTAATTAAAAATTAAAGGATGAAATTAGAAAAGTAAAATATTGTAACTTAAATATTACTAAATCGACGATATTAAATATATCGACTGTGGAAAAGTATTGCTTTGTGAAGTGATCTATTGTATTGTGTTATAAGTATAAAGTTACTGTGATGTTTGCAGAATTTAAAATATCTTTACAAATTGTAATCTTTAATTATAATTAGAATACAAGATACACAAAATACTCACGATTGGAGGCTCCTTGTTCATTGTCAATTCCGTGAAACTGTTCTGCAAGGCTGACATGGGATCATGTACAGTACTCTTATAATACTCCGAACTCTGAGACTGTGGAGCAGGATGTTGTTGTTGCTGTTGTTGCTGCTGTTGCTGTTTCATGTAAGTCGCTTGTTGCACAGCAATTTGATTTTGTAGATTTGCTATTTGCTGCTTGGTTTTTGTAATTTGTACACTGATTTGGAGGACCGATTGGCCATTACCCTTCACAGTACTTTGTACCGAATGCTGCTGATGAAGTTGCTGCAGAACTTTTATTTGTTGCAATAATTGGTTCAAGAGTATTAAAGTTTGAGGTGCAAGAGGTTGATTTAGAATCTGATGGTTTAAATAACCTTCCTGGACGGCTAACTGAATTTGTTGCACTAACATACGTAGCTGTTGAGTACTTGGCTGATTCTGCGGAGTTCTAGAAGCCTAAAATAAAAAAAAATAACATTTGTAATATTACATTGCTGAAGATTATAGAGATGTTTCTCGCAAAGTACGTATAAAATTATACCATAGCAATGATTTAACGATTGAAACTGTTACCTGATTGAATGGTGGTTGAGGTGCATTACCACTAGGTTGTTGTTGTTGTAATGGAACAGTAGCCTGTTGCTGCTGCTGCTGCTGCTGCTGTTGTAGCTTTAGCAAGCTTGCACTAGCAACTGATCCTCCTACACTACCAGCTGCATTTCCACTTCCAACTCCAGCACCCTGCAATTACAGGTATGCCTAATGCTTTAAAATGAATAACTACAAAATAGATGAATAATATTCAGTAGGTACCATAAATAATGTAAATACAAGAAATTTTATTATACGTGAAAAATCAGAAATTTGAGACTGTCACAGCAAGGTATAACCTCTCCTTTTATTTATAAATACATTAGTTTCAAAAATATATGTCGAAACTTATTACTACCACCCGTAAAACGTATTCGATCGGATTACTGACACCCCAATTACTACCACCTAACCAAATACTGTCACCTTATATACCTAATACTCATAGTCACCTAAATACTGTCATTTTTTTAGATTAGGTTTCACGTGACTGCAAACCGTATTTGATGACATTAATAGCGTAAGGCTTTCTTTTCGTAACCAATTCCTGACAAGACAGTAATTACAAAATTGTTGAAACGCTTGTACCAATCACTGTCACCAATATTAAAGTAAAAAACTTAACAAATCGTTGAATTATAACTGACATTATTTTCTATGATCTTAATATTTCTGCAACATTACATTTTATTATGTTACTAGCTCAAATATCGCAATTATAGCCTTTTCTTTAGTACCTTGTTTTCCCTTTCACTAGTAAGGAAGTTGTCGTTTTTACTCTTCCAATCGACTAAAAATTTTTGATCAATCTTGTGCTAATTTTGATTCAAAAATGAGAAATCCCTACTGCTTCACCAATACCATGATATCTGAGTTGTATCTGACCGCGACATTCAATATATTATAAATAGAATCAGTTTAAAACGTAATGAAACTTTCACATAATTTTTCAAGAGAATGGTTGAGTTCCGACCTATGGTTCCTTTCAGACTTTTCATCTTCACGATGAGTAGAATATGGTTTACATTTATTATATATCAATTTTATTGGTCTAAATAATTGAACCAATAGAACTGACATCATTTTCATGGCTATATTATTCCCTCGTACTGAAACGGTAAGGCATGTTTTAAAACATTTTGTGGCAACAGAAACATACGGGAAAGGCACAGAATACATTCTGCTATTATGGTAGTACACTATCTCAAGAATGTATAAGTGATACCAAGATCTTATGTAATATCAGAATGCTGAAGATTACAACAATTATCTTACCGGCGGGAAAGACATCTGTTGTGCGACATGATTAAATCTAGGATATGCTGGTGCAGTTGTAGCTTGATTAGTCGGATCATAAGTGGAGTGACTGTCATGTCTTCTCCATTGATCTAAGGGTCGTAACTGACTTAAAAGTTCCAAAGCTTCCTCTCTGTTCATTTCACGATTCCTCAATGCCACTTCAACATCGTCTTTCTGCAAACAAATGGAAACAATTATTAACACACTGTCGACGGGAAACCTGAATCGGTGTTTTTCATTTACTAAACACTGAAGACAGGAGACACGAATCGGCGTTTTTCATTTCTTAAACGCAGAAAACGGTAAACGCGATTCGACATTATTCAGTTTTCAGACAATGAATACGCGAGACAACAAATTATAGTTTGTGCGTGCAAAACCAAATTTTAATGAAAGAATTCGTTTAATAAAATATTTACATTGGTTCGAATATCGATTCAATTCGCATTATACCATCAACAATGTGTTAATTAGAACTGTTACTAATGATCGATGATTCATCACTATCCATTTTGAATACTAAAAATATTACTCTGTACAAAACATACAATATGTCATTTGAAACTGATGAACTCGCGAACAGTATTAGGAATACGTGTAGTGTGAATGGTTTGGAAGTCGACATTTCACTAATTTGAAAACCAAACCAACTTCTTTCCCTTAAATACGTCAGCGTCCGATTTTTTTTCTCTGCGGTTTAAACCCTCGCCCGTCACGCAAATCCCTCTTAAAGGGCGCCATTGTGTTAACACATTAAGCGCCGAGCTGATTTTTATCACTATTTTATTCAACGCCATGCAATGAAATTAATGAATTAAAGTGATTTTATTTCACTAAACTTTTTAATTTCTCGAAGCATGACATCATTTCTACACTTACATACAGAATGTTTTTATCGTCGAAAAATATCTGAAGTGTACATTCAAAATAAGAATGTTTTACATGTCAAAATTTCGTTTTCCATTTAAAATGTTATCTTATTTGTACCCTGTATGTTCTGATTTTAAGATACATCGCAGTACTCTTGTACCACGCAAATTCGAGTAAAAAGGAGTGTATGTATCGTACTGTTAAAATTTCTATGAGATTTTAAAAACACCATAAGTTGTGTTCTAATATGTATTCCATATAAATCTCTATATCTATTCTAAATTAATTGCAAAACTAATACTTACTTTAAATCCTAAGTCGCAGAGATACCGGAATTCTCTACTGTTCCATATAACTTCTTTCGTAAGAGTGGGTTTTGTAGGATGAGCCCAACTAGGGGAATGATCCATATCAGCATCAGCCCAGCTTCCGGCAGGTCCCATTGGTTTAGGTTTGTGCGCACTAGGTCCACCCCAAGTACCAGGATTCAATTGAGCTTCGTTCCAGGTACTTGGTGTTTTCGGATCATCCCATGAACTTGTGTCGTGTGGTCCTTCTGTCCAGCTACCATTTCGTCCGCCAGGAGCACCAGGATGACCCCACATAGGTCCACTCACATCTGGTTTCATTCCTGGTTGACCTGACATTCTGTTCTGTGGCATGCCTGGAGGGCACTGTATACCTATGGAAACAAAATTGTAATCAATTAATTCATATCAGTTAATTTAATAAATACAAATATAAACCTAAAACGCATAAATAAATACTCTATGGTTTAGAGAATTTATTTGTGTGTTTCAAGTTATTTTTTTTTGCATTTTTTTTTCATTAATATTTCACAATTTGTTTTAATTAACGTTATACTTCAATATGCATTTAACCCGCCGGCGGGCGCGCCGTGTATGTCCGTAAACCTAGTGCTAAAATAGGCGTTATATCTTCAATGAAGAACTACAGAAAGTACAAGCAGTTTGAGTTATTAGTCATTCCATCCACTCTAAAAGAAATCGCTCATTTTAACCGAAAAATACCCGCGTACCCCATTTAAACATTACTAAAATAAATTAAATACAGTAATACAATCTTTCAGTAATCGAATGAACTTAAAGAATATAGTATTTTTTATTGATATAATTACTGAACATAAGTATTTCTTACTCAACGAGATATCGAGTAGGAAATGTTGCTACATTCAGAATTTAACAATGTGTCGTCGAATACAAATTATTCGGGTATTTAACACCGCACAGTAGAATTGCATTCGTCAGTACTCTAGACGTATGTGAATTGCAAAATTATTTGAACATGCCCACTTTAGAGATGAAGAGCAGTCTTATTTGAAATGCTCGAACGAAAATAATCAAGAATACAATATACATTACTATTGTTAAGTCAACTGTACTTATAATAGAAAACAACAAACCTCCTCTGGCAACATTTGGTGTTGGAAGATCCTTCCATTGAGTAACCTTGCTTCCAGGTGGTATGGTCCTGTGATTAGCTGCAGCATTACCCCATAAACTCGTGCCGTCGTCATAATTCGGTACATTCCTTCTTTGTGTTGGCGGAGATGGTTCTTCCCACCCCGATGGCTTTCCAGACATAATATCTTTTGGTGGTGGTGCAGCCCACTGATTTATACTAGAGGGATTCAACATCTTCGTCGGCGGGCCTGAAGGGTGCTGGTGACCCATTTGATGATGCGGTGGGCCCGGTGGTTGACCCCACATGGTATCCGCATTAGCGCCGTTCAATCGGCCGGAAATTCCACGCGGATCTCCGCGTATGTCGGTCATTCTGGGATCTCGGGCCATTGGATCCATTACGCGTATGTGTTCTCGAGGATCCAAGGACATTCTATGATCACGGTGATCCCGTACATCTCTGGGATCAACGGACCGAAGATCTCGGGGATCTCGATGATCTATTCTTGGATCACCCCAGTTAGATCCTACGAAAATAAGTATTATAATAATTAAAAATATTTAAACGTCCATTATTACAGACAGGGTATAGCCGGATATGAGGGTTAAAAGTGCCCTCACACCGATTTGGACGGGCATTGGACCATTCGGTAGCTTATGAAGAAAAACAGCTTGTACCAAGTCTCAACCCTCTACACGACCAGGAGTGTACTAACTGGGAAATAACGATTACCCGGTTTTTCCTCCATTTTCCGTATTTAGTGGCATGCAAAAATTCTATAAAAGATCCGCAGACGGAATTTTTGTTGAGAATCGTAGTCGTCAAAAATCAAAAACGCAAAAAAAAAGTGATGAAAAATACGGATTTCTCCATGGATAAAATAAAATCATGTAAGGTCGAATATACTTCAAATATAACGTCTTGTAAAACAGCTCTCAAAACGTACAGTAGGATAAGGGGTTAAAAGTACCCTTAGTCCGATTTGGACTTGTGATGTACCATTCGATAGTTTGTCAAAAAATACGGCCTGTGCCAAGTATCAACCCTCTATCTCGATCAGGAGGGTAGTAATGGAGAACATTCGGATTGTCGGGTTTTCCTCTATTTCCCTGTTTAATGACGCGAAAAAAATCTGTGAAAAATCTGATAGATAGTATTTATTGGGGCACATGTTGGAGATTTTTTTTGGTATTGTTTAGTTGAGTATCCTAGTTGTGAAAAATCAAAAACGCTACAAAATAATGAAAAATATTTTTTTCTAATTGAAATTTTAAATCATAAGTAGTATACTTAAATTTTTTGGTAGGGTGCACTGTAACTTTAAAAATCAAAAACCGATTTCTCGGTGCAAAACTCTTGTACTTTGAATTTTTGTATTTTCTTTATTAAATAAGTATATTATACCATTTCACATGTTTCTACATTCAGTAAAATAATGCAGAAACTAAAAGAACTTAAATTAACATTACTTGACACTATATTGTCCCATATTTACGAAAATATTTAGTCAGATACCAATAGCCACCGATAGCGCAGGGGCTAAGTGCCCGACTGCGAAACCGATACGAACTTTTTGAAGTTACATTTTTATGGAAAACATCGGTTTTTGAGTTTTCACAACTAGGATACTCAACGAAAAAATCGCAAAAAAATCTCCAACACGGGCCCTAATAAATACTATCTATCAGATTTTTTTTTACAGATTTTTTGTAATGTTGTTGATATCAATAAGTATGCTGTAAGTAAAGAAATCTTAATAGCATACAAATCAATTAATATGAAAAAAAAACTCAGACTTTTAGCTGGTTGAAAGGAACAATACACAGACTCGCAAATAAAGTTTTGTAAAAATGACATTGAATTATATTCCATTTCCGGTGCGTCGCCAAGCCACTTACATTAAATAAAAAATTTTATGTATGTATTTTACACTACCGCTAGTCAAACAGCTTTTGGGATAAAAACATGTTTGTAGAGAATATAATATACTTTCATTTACCTGATACTATAAAAGTGCAAACAATTTGAATACATATACTAGTACCACTGATACAGAGTGTCTTACAATTTTCGGTTTTAAGAAATTCATAGTACATGCACGTAATGAAAACAGCAGCCAAAATAATGAAGAATGGAAAAGAAATTACAATATGTTCAGTATTACCTCCCCACATACCGGCTTGATTACCGGTACCACCTGTTGTCCACTGCCCACCAGCAGTGTTTGGTTGAGAAGATGTAGGAGCCCCAGTCCACATATTTGATGAATCAGCAGCTTCATCATCTTCACCCCAGGTTCCACCAATATTTGTTGCTGGTGTATGACCCCAAGGAGTTTTTGGTTGCTGCTGGGGTGGTGGTTGTCCGCCATTTCTGATGTTCGCCTCCCAGAGGTCTGTACCAGTGTTTACTGGTGGTTTCCACACTGGAACTGCATCCTTAGATGAATTAGGCTCTGGAGTCGTTGGAACATCCCAGTTTGTGTCTTGATTAACGTGTTGCTGGAGGAGAAAGGAAATGTTATTTAATGCCAAGAAAGTAATAATATAAAACATACATAATATTATACATTGAGACTGAAGCTGTAGCAATTGCTACATCAATTTGAATGAAATTCCGATTATTAAGATTCGAAAAAATTATATGAAACTAATTTACTTAATTAATTATATAATTCTCAATTTTCACAACACTTTTAATCGTTTTAAAAGTATAAAGTGTATTCCAATACTTGCATAGAATATTTTATTAGAAAATATTTGAGTATACCTAGTATTAGACATACCCATCAGTCAATCCACTATTCCATTAATGAAATAGCAATAAAGGTTCAATTTCAAAATATTGTTTCCTACTTCTTCATTAGTAAAATGGTGTAGAATGTTAGGAACGAATAGAGATAATTGTTAAATATTGTTACAAATAAACTCCAAATCTGACAAGAACTATGGAGAACTAATTGTGATGTACCTAATACAGACTTAGCAAGATTTTTGTACCGACCAATACTTGAAACATGTATAAAGATACTTACACGGCCCCAACCATCTTGGCTAAATAGTGCTTCTCTCATTGTGTTCAATTGCTCCAATTGTTGTTTTGTCGACGGATTATTGCTAGTAGATGTATTACTACTGTTAACGGATCCCTGACCCTGATTATTAGGTTGATTATTATTGCTACTGGTGTTTGACTGTTGTTGCTGCTGTTGCTGCTGCACTGTATTGTTATTATTTGGAACAGAAGGATTTTGGCCAGGCCCTCCAGGATTGTTAGACATCCCTTGCGGCCACTGATTATTATTCTGACCACCCTGACTTGTGCCACTTGATTGAGAAGTTGGTGGGCCAGATTGTTGATTTGATTGCTGGTTCGGATTATTCATCTTATTTACATTACCTAAAAATTAATTAAGCATTGTGTTAAATATAAGTCAGATATCTTAGGCAAATTAAATATTTTCTGGTCTGCTATTCTAGAAGTCTTGCACATAATGTTCCCTTATTTTAACCACAAAATACTGTGCTATATTAAAACACATATCTTTAAAATTTGAACCTTCGAAACAAAATGTAAGCTCTATAAGTTTGTTACTTTACATACAGTTATTCACATAAGAATATGCCCATTTCATAGGTATTGCACATGTCTACGTATTTAGTTAATGTTAAAGTTGAAATTAACAATTATTATTTATACTAATATAAACATCGATTAATCTACTTTAAATTAAGACATTTGAAGTATTGCTATTTCTGCAAGTGATAGAATACGCGCGCACAGAGCTTCAAAAACAAGTTATAGTCGAGTTTGTCGATAACAAATCAAATCTTATAGCAAGGACACGGGGATATCGGACAGAGTATTAATTTATTGTAAATATTGAGTTGGAACAAAAGTCCGTAATGTTTGTTAATACGCGTCGTTGGAAGACGTGAAGCGCCACCTATTGTAAATAAGACATATGACATATGCATATAGTCGAAAAGGTTATAATGCAACGCGTCTTCTGCTATAATTAGTACATGGTTTTGTGAATTTTAAGTGTGTATACATTAAAAGTAACGATGTAAAAAAATTCGTTATTAAATACTCTATTATATCCGAAAAGGAAAAACTGCTATACAAATAGTAGGTAAACAAGATACATATAAAGTACTGTTCGTAAGAAGTTAGCTGGGACCTGAAGTGACAATTGTTTACTTATATATATGTACCTTCAGTTTAATGAACCAGAATAACAAAAAAATTTATTGAGGAAATGGTGAGTCTCCAAATCAAAACTTTAATTTTTTTTTTTCATCAGTTGCTTCGAATAAAGTTTTCATCTATATCTGTATCTTTATTCGAAGGTTCATTCGAATAATTTTCGCTAACGCGTTTATTCATGTGTTCAAGCCAACGCGGCTAAGCGCCGAGCATCCAGGATTGAAGACCATTTTTATCCACCAAAAATTTAGATAGAGCCGTGTCTTGCGATTGACGTTTGCAGTACAAATTATCAATTACGAATTAGACACGTTACGCATTGTGTGCCAGACAAATATTAATGCCACATAATAGGTGTGCAAAGAAGTGGTGTTTCAACAAAAGTAGTACAAGGAGGCAACATGAAGTCACGTCTGATACCAGCCCATAACGTTACCCAGTGACTCAATTAAAGCGTGTATAATGTATAACATCAGCCGTCAAAGTGTTTGAAACATAAAATGTTAAACCTGTTATAGAATACAGTTTATGGAATATCAGATATGAGTACTCACCCGGAATATTTTGTCCACCGAGAGGTCCTTGATTCTGACTCGAATTGGGATTCCCACTAACAGATCTGTTCACGTTGCTCCCAGACCAATTGCCTGAATTCCCACTGTTTCCGGAAGGATTTCCCGAGGCCCCGCCCCAAGCAGACTGATTGCTATTATTATTATTCGCAGTGCTGGCCTGCGTGGATCCCCAATTCGTAGATCCACCGTTGTTCAATGAACTCTCACCCCCACCGGCTAATCCAAGTATTACGGAAATGCCCCATCGTTTTTTGTACGCTAAATTGGGATCGCTTATGTCACGAACTGGTCCAAACAGGAGACTCAGTACACGTTTAAGATCATTTTTATGAGCCTGCAGAGTACCGTTGGAAACTTCAGCGAACGCTGCTATGAGATTCCTCGCGCGATCAATCAGATGACCTCGCGTCGAGCTGTTCATAAGAGTTTCTGTTTCCTCGTTGTCCGAATCATTAACGCCCACATTCTTGGTGCCGACGATTTTTCTTGGTCCAGTCGAAGCAATCAGACTATCATAAGAGTCTTGGCTGTCCTCCGAATAGTCCTGACATCTTTGAGATTGATTAGAATTGTCAGGGTTCTCGGTAATGGCGTCTACCTTCGTCGAAAGTTCATCACTGTCAAGGAACTGGGCAGTCTGGAACGTCGAATCGATCAGAATCTTCTCGTCGACGTTGAATCCGACAGTTCCGTGTATTTTGTACGTCTCCTCAAATGTATACAAATCACAGAGATTGCCTAGAGAAATGTTCCCGCTCATCGCGGCGTTCGAAGCTTGATATCTTTGTTTGGTTCGTTTCGGGGAATTAAAGCACGATGAACGGATAGAGACATTCCTCCCTATTGACTCTCGCATGCCTTGGCAATTGTTATTTTTCTCATATCCAGAATAAGGAAATACCGTTGTCGCTTCGGTGCAATGATCGTCGTTCGAATAGACAGCAGTTTGTGTGTTGATAGTTCCTAGTTGATTACGATTAACGTTTTTGTCGGCGTCTCGGCGCTCAATTTGTTCGTTAAAAACCGTGAGGAGTGTGCATTTGGTCGGGCCATAATGTCTCGAAGTAGTTCGGCCGAGATCCAGGTACACCGATTAATCGGGATGCAGATTGGCGTTTAAGCGTCATCGTAGGCTTGCAGGTAGTCGTAGTAGGAATGTAGAGAGCGAACTCGGCTTGGTTCTCCCTCTTGACCCTATATCTATCCCCTATAGTAGACTTAGAAAGAGACTTAACAAACCCAAGGCCAACGCGCACATATGGCCCCGAGTACCTATAGTTCACGAAATAAACGCCCATAGGCTCGTTAGACTTAACATTATCCTGAAATGAAAGAGCACCAACAGTAATTGTTGCCACGTCACTAATACCATTTATTCCCCAGGACGACATCTCTGCCATTTGTCCCGTCAGCTTCAAAGTTATTGTTCCTACGGTTCCTATCACAAACCAAGCGTTTGGGTATTCTTTCTTCGAGGTCGCGAGTATCTGTTGATGCGACTTGAACCGTTTCAACAAAAACACAGGGTTTAGATTTTTTCTATGCTGTTTCGAATTCTGTTCCTTCGAAGTTGTACCTCCAAGGCAACTTTCATCCGTTTGATTCCAAATTGGCATTGTTTTATAGTTGATCGAAATTAATTGGGCTGTTCTTTCAAAGTAATTCAAAAGCGTTCCAATGATCAGGTCTTCTTCGTTCAAGATCAGATAATCTTGTAGTAATTCGTTCCGGTTCAGGTTCGAAGAAATATTTGAGAGTTGAACAGTAAGATGCGTCCTTTTGCAGCTAGTCTCGTGGCTCGGTATCCCCTTCCACGTAATACTAAAATCGCAAATCACCTTATAGCTAAGTTTAACCACATAAAGCTTACGATCTAACGAGAGTGGAACACATGCACGTTGCGTCAGCTCGCTTGCGACCATGTCGAGCCATGGAGGAGAGGATTGTGCGCGTTTCGGCGCGTTTCTCAACGGGAGAGGTCGCGGAGGCTGGTCAGTTAGCTCGTTTCCGGGAACGATAAGCGTAATGGAAGAACTGGTGGCCACGTTGTCCCCTTCCTTAGTCAAATCTGATGATTCTTCGTTCGACGATCTATCACTTGTTTGAACTTTCTTTAGTATTACGAAATTTAAAGGCGACTTTGATATCCCTCTACAGCTCCCTTCGAGGATCGCTAACGCGATATTATTGTTTATGAACGATATATCATCCGTCGTAATATTTTCCAACCTTCCTTTCTTCTTATCGTTAATTTCCATGAGAAAACATTCGATTATAATGGATGAACTGTTCAGCTTTGGAACAGTACTTCTCAGTACAATCTTTCTAAGGATGTACGAAGACATTCTGAATACTTCGAACGAATCGAGATTTATGTCGACGTATTCGTCGAGTGTCTCCATGCCCGTTTTGATAAGCAATAGCAACTTTTTCGTCGTTTCTACATAAAACAGAAGGCGAGATTCGTTTTTCAAAAATAGATATGTGGATAGAAGTTTCAATATTTCCGGTTCAATTTCAGCGAAAGAGGCGTGGTCTGTAGGGTTTTCACGATTTTTTGACTTGATTGCGGTAGATACAAATTCTTTCGTGACTTGATTCTCGTATAGCGATTCGCATCTCGAGAAATTTCTATTCTCCGGAACAACAGCGATCAATGATAAATCTCTGGATGCTTTTTTAAAATAGTTTGACACAAAATTCTTCTGTAGGATCTTGATCGTTTCGAAGATGAACTCCATCGAAGAATGCTCGCTTCGAATAATTTGATTATTCGTCAAGAATACATCGATAATTCTAGGGTGTTCAATCTGGGATGCGGAAAGCGATCGTGTTTGTAAGAATACACCGTCGAAAGAAGAGTTGATCGAGGATCCGAATGAATTCCAACGGGCTCTTAGTCTCATTGCGATCGCACCACCGTCCATTTCGACGCGGAGGAAATAATGGTTATTGGTTGAGCTGAGCAATATCACAGACTTGTAGTTATCGTTATTATTACTTAGGAGGCTAGAATTAGACTTAACGTTATTGTATTTGCCCGGATTAAGGCAGGACCCTAGTAAAGAGTAATTGTCAAGAGAGTCGAGAGAGAAGTGGCCTGATGAGGGGCGATCAGACTTGGGTATCCTAACTAGGCTAGGTACCCCTTCACCGATTGCGCACTTGTCCCCTGTTAATCGTAAATTTATGCTTAAATTTAGTACCCTAATGTTTAGTACGCTAAAGCTAGTCTTATTATCACTTAGTGTCTTAGATATAGACTTAGAGTTATTGGCGGAGCTGCCCGGTTTCTGTTCGCCAGGCGAGCCCGGTGCTTTTCTTTTTCTTGTTGCATTAACTGTTGTTTCTCGATCATCTTGATAATTATGTTCGGCTCGACTTGAGCGATTATTTAGTGTAGGATTATTATTATTATTATTATTATTACTGTTATTATTATTATTATTATTATTATTATTATTAATAATAATATTATTATTATTATTAATAAGGTGATTTCTTGTTGGGTGTTTTGTGGTTAACGACGCCACTGACTGGCACGTCGGGCTTCGACTGGTCAAGGTGGACTTGCCTGAAAAAAAAAAGAAACACGTTATTGTAGTTATTTTTGTTAACATCCTTAGAAGTACAGGAAATAACCTAAAAAAATGTTGGACCATCGTCTTTGGAGACTACTTTGGAGTAGTAAGTACTCCTGAGACTGTACACACGAATTCCAGAGCCGGAACAATTGATTGTAAAATTTCTGACATCTATTCTAATACCTGTGTTACATTACGAGGCCTGACAATAAGACTTCGAGAATAATTTTCTTTCGAATAAAACGCCAACAATGTAAACAGTTACGTCCACTTTGACGGAAACAAGATTATTGTCGAAACATTATTGCCACGCCTCGTAATGTAACACGAATGTTGAATCAGATATAGTCGGTGAAACCTATATTAGTGTGGTCGTAAAATCGGTCAGGCATGAAACTTGTATCTTTCAAGTGCCGAAACAGCGATCCGGGGGAAATGAGGAGCTCCAGTCTCATTCAGGGCCATCCGATGTAAACTCGAAACTGATTCTTATTAATACGGCACTATACAGGGTGTATCGAACATGTTGCAGATCCCTAAAAGACGACACTCGTGAAGCGATTTGGAAGTTTATCCTTAGCAAAAATGTTATCTGAGGCTTTGTTAACGCCTGCCGGCCGAATTCCCGCGGTACCGTTGGCTATCAATCGCAACGCGTAGCCAAAGTTACCGCGGGAACTCGGCCGACAGACTCGCACTCTGATTGGTCGGGGTTTTTCGTTATTATCTCGTTAACAAAGCCTCGGATAACATTTTCGCCAAGAAAAAAGTTGTTTCAAATCATCCCAAAAACCCGTCATTTCCGGGAGGCGAAACATTTTTGAGACACCCTGTATGTATGTATACAGATAATAGGCGGTCTCTTTTAGTTTCGGAGATATTAGCGGAAAACTGAAAGTACTAGGCTGAGTAGGTTAGAGCTTGTTAAAAAAATACTGTTCAAAACATTATACAGATTTGAGTATTCACAATCACTGAAATCGGTTAAATGTGATTTTCATGTTCACCTGTTGTTTTCCGGCCGTTGTGATGTGTTTATATAAATAGTAGATAAGCGGTCGTCCCTTGCTGATGCATACGTTGCCATAACCATGCACGTATAGACGAAATTCAATTGATTAGTAGAAGCAGATTTTCGCAAATATCTTGGAGGCTAAGAGAGAGCCTATTATATTTATAGGAAAAAGTTGTTCAAAATGATGGCCTTGACAACATATTTCAAGGTCATTGAAATTGGTGCTGAAGACCAGGTTCTCAATACAGTAGACTCACGTTAAAGTAGCGCACGTTAAAGTAGCATAGGAACGCCCCTGCTCGCACCTATTATTTACACACGTGCGCGCATCCCACTGTCGGTCGCCATCTATAACCAAAGTTCTGGTCCAATTGGTGGATCGACCGAATTGCCACAAGATTCGGCGTGCCCATTGACTCACGTGACTGTACCGTTTCCAAGAAAAACCTTCCTCGAGAGCCTCGCACCGCTACTTTAACGTGAGTCTACTGTAGTACTTCCGGGTCGAAACTTTGAGGAGTGGTTTCACCCCTAAATATGAAAACAGGCCGATATAAAAAATACGTATCTCTTATTTTTCGGTTCTCTAAAACATATCCTCAAACCAAAGCAATCGGAGGTGGACACCTGAGAAACACTCCTTGTGAGAGTAGGGCGAGTATTCATATGATCAACAATGATGAATACATAGATAGAGAAAAACCAGTGTTTTTATATTTGTTGTGCTATGTGATGCTTTTAAATTAATCAGTAAATAAGTCATAATTATCTAAAGAGTTATAAAAAATTACACTATGTTATTTTCTCCCAGAAAAATTAAAGTAAAATATATTACTGTGTATACGGCTGTATCTGTCGTACATGTAAAAATAATACTGTTCGCTTTTACCATTTTCCCCGACAAAAAGTAAACTTGATAAAATTAAAGAATAAATTAAATCAGGAAGAAAGTATTGACCGTTTCAGTACATGGGTAAAAGTTTTCAAAATGGGTATAATGTATCGTCGTCTATGAGAATATGCTCATTACACTTTACAGAAGACAATTTTATCCCAACAAGTATTATTATAATCATAAATAGAGTTGGACATAGAATTTATGATTTTTAGGAAGTTCTCTTGAAAGTCTTGAGCGGTCTTTCAATACGATTCTATTATTCAGTAAATAATATAAGGAATAAATCTATTTTTTCAGAAATTCTGTCTCAATCATTGAGAAACTTTTTCTGTTTTATTTCATCCCTCCCCCTCGAAAACTCGAAATTTTCAGACAATATTTAATATTTGATGTAGAAGATTCTGCTTGAACAAAAGTAATCAGAAAGCCCGTGAGATATTCAATAGTCATCAAGCTGTCAAAACCTATCGAAACTCTCAACACTTTTAAGACTTCCAAGACCAACTAAGACTTTCAAAACTTCCAGCTTATCAAGATTTTTGTCTTGATTATTGATTTATTATCGTTCGTGTACAGATCCCATTGCTAGTGATAAGACGAAATTAAATATTATACAGGGTGAATCGCTCGCTTCCATGGTCGACAGGCAAGCCGCCTGCTTTGTCATTTAAGAGTCGCTAGCTACTCCTGCTCAGCAGTTTATGTGTGTGACGGAGACAGATAGAGTGTCGATTTTCGCTCTGTCTCTGTCACACACATAGACTGCTCAGCAGGGGTAAGCTACTGTTGACACGTTTGTGGTCACGGCCGTTACCTCTCGACCCTAGCAGCGAGCGATTCACCCTGTACACTCAAGAGCAAACTCGGCTTCCACTAGGAGTAAAAGGAAAGGCCTCCTACCACTTGGTAAATTTACTTCAAATACCGAAATAAATGTTAAATTGAATGTTAATTTGACATAAATTTCAATAATTCCCGAGACTAAGTGATAGAAGGCCCTTCTCCTGCACTGCTTTTTCCCCTAGCGGAAGCCGAGTTTGCACGTCGGTGTACAAGGTGCGGAACATAACATATCAGTCCGCATATTTCTGGCACTTCTGATCAGATGACAAAAAATTGATGTGAACAAAACTTAATGAGTATTCAATCGGCAAGAAACTGCAGATTGAATAATAGCCAAAAAACTTTCTCTTCGATACAAAATGAAGGTTCCTGTAATTTTTTTAAACGGGACTTCGTATTTCTAAGGTCATAGTATTATAGATGATGTCAAAACAAATTCAATGGTCTAGTATACTATAACCTTTTACACATTTACCTTTTAACCCATTAACTTTTTTTATCTTTGGGGATATTTGAAATCGATTATTTATGAAAGATGTTATTAATAGTATCGAAAATCTTCAAGAACGCATAATTGAAGCATGTGGAAGTGTACAAAATTATTATTTAATTCAAGCTGCACACCAGAATTTGTTACAAAGAGCAGAACTTTGTGTTACAAAAAGTGGAATGCTATTCGAACATTTACGTTACAAATATAAGTTAATATCCAGTTATTTGTACTATTTACTGACCACTCATGTCATTCGTATCGTATACAATTAAGAAACTAAAATAAAAAAATCTACATTTCCAATCGCGTTTTTCCAAGAAGTAGTTTAATCTACGAACATCATTTTTGTTATTATATTAATATCAAGAGGAAATTGTCGCACTTTATATTTGTTGCGGATAAAACGAGAAATACGTATCTGCAAGTTCGTAACTGCAATGCGCAGGAGACATTCTTGGTTGGACGAATGCTCCAATTAACAGGTTAAGCGGTTAAGTTAACATAAGAATGTATACTTACCAGTTTGACTCGACAGGACGGTTAAAAAGTCATTGGCGGCGATATTTTCAAGATGGTTTATAGGTTTTACCATCGTGTTGTTGTTTATGAATTCGATATCACAGTACCTAGCATTCTCTGATTCTCTTCCCTTCCCCACCCCTATCGGACTGTTTTTCCCTAATACTACTACATCCCCCTGAAACAAAAAAAGCTCAATGTAAAAATCCAAGAACTCTATGTAAAATGTAAAACTATGCTCGTCTGTACAAGTTTTGTTCGGACAGGATTATTTCTGTGGCAGCAATTAAGAAGAAATCGAATTACGATTTCATTCGTCTTGTGTGTACCTCGACACTTATCACATCCAGTGACCTGACCCTTTAACTGAACGGGGTGGAATGTAATTTGCGTGTAGCTGTAGTACGATCAGATCGTGTTTGACCGTGGTATGGATCTATCGTAACATCTGTCGTATCGTGTACTCAATGAACAAGAATTTAGAGTCTAAATATTATTAATTCTGTGTTTTAAACCTTAGAAGAGGTCTTGTATCTTCTGAATATATTTATTCAGCGATTAGTTGGAACGAGTACCTATACAATATCGATTGGGCGTAAAAGAGCGAGTTCGAACATGGAGAGTGCACATCGAAGGTCAGGTCACGAAGGGAGTGTGAGTGGATTTTCCATATCTTTTAACACAGGTTTGTCCAACATGTGACCCTCGGGCCACATTTTGGACAAGCCTGTTTTAACACATTATCGGACACTCGACTAAAAATAGTCTAAAAAAAGACATTCAAAACTCACTGACTGTTTGTTTGTAGGCAAATTTTCTTAAGTACAGACGTGATATAAACTTTCTAAGTTTTATTAAAAGTATTTAATATTATATGCCAATTATAAATATACAATAACACATTTGTAACATTTTTCCCTAAAATAGAAAGTCGTGACGGCGGTTGAAAGCAGCAGTTGCGTGCAGTCGCCGTCCGTACCCATCGACGGGCAGGATATTGTAAGGTAAAATGAAGCGTGTGCGCGGGAGGCGCGAGTTCAAAGGGTCATAGCCGCGGTAATCCTTAGCGCCGCCCGCGGGGCAACCAGGGCCGAGGGGGTGGTACTGGGCGTACCAACTCCTTTCGCGGTCGGCGCACGAGAAGACAACGTCGAGTGGTGACCCCGGTAGGAGGTGGCGGGACGGCACATAGCCGTCCCAGGGGGAGGGGCGGTGCAATGCCCCTCCCCCCACCAGAAGAGGGCCCTCCCTCAGTAAGAGGGGGGCAAGGGCCGGCTGATCGTGGTGTGTGTGTGTGTGTAACGTTCCCGTGACCAGCTCTACGCCCGAGAGGGTCACCGGGGGTTTTAGCGAGGTGAAATCCCGCATTGGCCATCTCCGCCCCTAGCGGACTTTTAAGGTTGTGCCCCCGTAAAAAGAAAAATACAAAAATAAAAAAAAAGGTAAAATAAAGCATTTCGTAGGGTCGCTTGTTCATGTAACCACACTAAGGGCTGTATTTGCATTTTAGAGATTTCAAAGTTTAGTCTTTTTTGTCATTTTTTATTTATTTACATATAAAATACTTACTACATGTTAATCACAAAAATATTTTCCATCATTGTCGACCTAACCCAGACCTTTTGACACCTTTCGGGCGAACTTCGAATTCCTTCGCGAAAAAAGGACACTGGTTTGGTGGCAATGAAATCGTCGATTCAATTCTTTATTCAGCGACATCTCGAAAGCGTCGTCCAGCTAAACCATGCTGCATTGATCGAAATAGATGATAGTCCGACGGCGATAAATCCGGAGAATAAGCCTCACGAGGGAGAACTTCCCATCCTAAGTTAATGATCCTTTGCTGAGTAATCTCCAAGCACCGTCGTGCGGCCTAGCGTTGTCATGGAGAAAAATAACTTTTCAACATCCGTGGCCAGTAAATGGTCGTTTTTTTTCCAATATGTCTGCTAATTTATTCAACTGATGACTGTATCGTTCGGCAGTAACCATTTCAGAATGTTGAATCAACTCTTAATAAAGAACCTCTTTCGAATTCCACCAGATGCTCAAAAAGAACCTTTTTGCGAAGAATGTTTGGTCTTGCAACCGATGTAGACGGTTGACCGAAGTCAACCCACGAATGTTTGCACTTTGGATTATCGCACATTATTCACTTCTTATCGTCGGTAATAATTTTCCATAAGACATTCTTTCTACGCTGCCTGGAAAGTAGCGAAACGCATATGCTTATCCGGCGGGTAATGTTTTCTTGCGACAGTTCGTGCGGTATCCACTGTCCCAACTTTTAATTTTTGCCCATCTCATGCAGCCGTCTTGAAATTGTTGCTTGATCAACTCCAAGCTGTGTTGCAAGTTCTTCTTGCGTCTGGGACAGGTTTTCATACGGGAGTGCCTCCAAATCGTCAATGTCTAACTTTCGTGGCATTCCGGATCCAGGGCGATCGCTTCCGTCAAAATCGCCCTCTTTAAAGCGTCGAAACCAGTATTTACATGTATTATAAGACACAGTATTTCCACCAAGAACAGAACACATGGTCTCACATACTTTAGCAGCATTTTTCCCTTGTTGAAACTCATACCGAATGCAATGCCGAGCACACAACTTTTTGTCGCTCATTATGTCAACCGTTATATCTAAGGTTATGTGCACGACTGAATCATAACAAATGGCGTCTCGTCAAGTTAAATACTAACTTCTAAGGAAATTTAACGGATCGAATTTAGGATATAACTGACACGAAGTATTCATTATTTGTTCGAGTCTTCGCAATATCAAATATGCAACATTTTGTTTAAATATACTGCAAAAGAAGAACACACGACAAGATTCATAAATGCATGTCAATACTTCAGGGGGTAAACCTACATACTGATATAATTAAAAAACATCATTTGAACATATGTCCTACATACCTTAGATTTTGAGTTATGCATGATTAAAGAAACTCTTCGAAGTGCACGATCTCAACCCATTCGACTTTTACTTTTTGGACCATTTAAAAACTATTGTGCATTCAACGCAAGTGAATAATGTGCACGAACTGCAAGAAAGGACATCAAATGGATTAAACTATTCGAAGAATACCTGATATTTTCGAGCGAGTGTGGACCTCAATCCTACGGCATGCAATAGTGTGTTGAAGCACGAGGTGGGCACTTCGAGCGTTTTCTTTAATCATCCATAACTCGAAAACTAAGGTATATAGGACATATCTTCACACGACATTTTTTACTTACATCAGTCTGTAAGACTTACCCCCTGAAATATTGACATGCATTTATGAATCACCTAAGTATAGTACATAGAACACACTGTACTGAGTAAAGAAACCTTAGTAGACATAAAAAAAATCAGGGTGAACGCGTCACAACTTAGTTGTAATAACTATTTTTTTCGTAGGTGTCACTGAAAGGGTTCTTTACAAAAACCACCCCCAAAAAATTAATTCTTTTATTTTTATCCTTAATAATTCATTTACAATTTCGGAAAAAATTTTTGTTCTAGAGCTAAAAAGTACCTACAGTAATCCCACATTGAACGCAACACGAAAACCACTCAATGAATCCTACATTGTCATCCCCACCACTAGGGAAGGGGGCCGTGGAACTTGTCAAGCGCTTAATTTTTTGCCCGGCGCGCCGCGGAGGCTTCCCTTTCACGAGCCGACGGCTGAACGAGGAATGATCAAGAAAAGATTATATGCCTGGGCATCGGGTAACACTAATAAGTTAAAATTAATAATAAGTTAAAAAAATGTTGAAGCCTTTGTTTATTCTGTACAAAAGTGTTAGAAAGATTTAAAATGGTACAATATTGAATGTCGGAAGGAAAAGAAGTAAACGCGTACGTAGGTATACATATACAGTTGCTCACGAAAGGATTCGAACGCACCACCGCTGTCTTTAATCCATCATGTAACAATTTATCCCGTGTCATACTAGGGCAGAGCGTCTAGTTATCGAACTGTTCATTCCGAGTGAGACTCGGAGTTTTAAAAAACGAACTGTGCGTCGTGTTTCCTCGTGTGCTATAGCGCTATAGCTAGCCTGTGCATTAATCGAGTGTCGTCGCTCGCAGTGGAGCCAGAATACGAGATAGGAAGGACAGCGAATGGAAAAGAAAAAGAAGTCTGCGTGTCGGTGAGACCAAACTCGGCTACCTCGACTCTGACCTCCCTTTCTTTTGCAATCGCTGTCCGTCGTATTCCGTATTCTGGCTCACCGCGATCGACTATTACAAGTCGATGCGACACGGGGGATGCGAGTGATGCGACAAGGGTACGAGGCTAAGATTAGGACCCAGAGAGCTGTCGACGATCACATTAAAAGAATCACCTCGATTGGCTGAAACGGTACGACAAAGAGCGTACGAGACATACCGAGACCGAGCAAGATAACGCGAGCCGCAGGCGGCCACAATGTAGTCATTGGCCGGCGAGAGCATCACAGGCGGGGCCCACGTAATCGAGTCGAGTGGAACCAGAAGCTTTCTCTCTGTTTTTCAATCGCCTGTCCTATTCTACGTTCGGAACTCTACAAAGGCAAGCTGTCGAGGCTCGAGTTTCGAGTAAAAAATTACATTGTAAGGTGCTGAAAACGTTTCCACGTCGTCGTGAATGCAGCGAAGCGGACCTGAGTTTGTTGCGTTCAACGTGTGATTACTGTACTAACATTCTTAAAAACTACAATTTTTCCAGTAATCTTATTTACAAATTTTCTTTGTTTTATTGTTTATACTGTGTTGCTCGTCGTACTGATGGACATTCTATTACCTATGAAATTCATGTAAAATGTAGTAAAATAATAAAATTATTTACTGATACAATTAGACTTTCAATGTTCCAATATTTGAACAGCAATAAAAAATTACTTTTTTACAACTTTTTCCAGGAAAACAATTTGAAACATGAAATCAAATATAATGAGTTTTGTAACAAACTCACATTTATGTTGTTTGATGTACATATCTCAATTATATCGTGATAAGTATGCCGGGACAATTAAGACTTACATTATAGCAAACGCTCGATTAACGACTCTCGGCACGTTCAGTGCACTTCTAAACTGCTTTAAGGTTATTTTTGCAGCCTAATTGATTGCACGTGGCACGAAAATTGTTTCAACATGAAACACAGAATTGAAAAAAAATCAATAGAAAACATTTGCTTATTTTAATAACTTAATTTATTCGTTTTTCTATATAATGTTCAATCACTGGTACTTATTCATTTACTGGTGCACTCACCCAAGTTCTTTTCCGTATGTCCAAGATAAGACAGGTGGCAGACCGTTTACAAAATTGTCTTACTGCGCGACACTCGGGCATGCGAGCAGTAAGGGGCAACGGTATCGATTTCAACCCCTTGTAAATTTCGAGCCGAGCTTCGGTAGCTCGCCTTTGTGTTTTTCCGGCAGCGAAAAATACATTTAACGGATTGATAAGATTTTTCACATTATCATATGACATTGACATTTTTTGTTCATCGAGCGTTTGTAATTTTAATTTTGTTGGGTGTAATAAAACTGAAATAGCTTAAGGCTATCTGCTGTACAATATATTTAGTATGTATTGATCCATAACTTAAGATAATCCGATTGAGATCGTGTTTGGACTCATTTTTACCACGAATCTTTTGTCACTTTGCGAGAAATAATTGTGACATTATATTACGTCATTTTGTTAAACCGATATTAGAGCAAAGCCACAAAAAATCGTTGAAATGTTATGTGTCTGCATCGCCATTTTCAAAGCACATATATAGTTCATACCAACTTTTTTTTAACTTTATGATAGTAATAAACATTAGGTAAAAGGATACATCAGGACTTGCTCTCATTTCCTTGCAAATAAATGGAAAAGAAAGGTTTCTTTTCCCCAAAAACTATTGCCTAGTCTCCTTAAAACAACATGTTAAGTATGATATCCAATTAAGAAATCTTGCTCATATTTGCTCCTTTTTAAGATATCCGCATTTAAAGTGCCAATTAGTACCTATCTACGCTGTCCATAATAGCCTAAATAAACTCCATATGAAATTTTATGACCCCAGATCATCGTATTTAGCCATAATAAATATTGGTGCATCATGGATCCAAATCGGTCTAAGGGCACTTTTGACCCCCTGTATCCTGCTTTACCTTTTGTAACTTCTTCAGACGAAAAAAAATCTACTGGCAGATAATAGTAGTTCACAAGATACAGAAACGTCTATATTATATGTTTGCAAAAGCATAAATAGACTGGTTAACTAATTATGACGATATCATGGTAGCCACTTCAGAATACATGGTTTCAAGAAAAACGCGATTGAAGTTTTACGTGCAGTTTCAACATATGTAGCAATGTATTTATGGCATGTCTGTTCACTCCGATATTTCTGCTACATGAAGGGGTACATTTTCTTTCCAAAACATTCGTGTGCAGTCGATTTGGTAATTATTTGAAAAACGGACGACCTCACCGATTTCAGTGAGCTTCAAATATGTTGTCAGGGTTATCATTCTGAATAACTACTTTTTCCTATACATGTTATCACCGCTATGCTTTAGTTTTCGAGAATTTCGCAAAAAAACATTAGTAAACTTTTAGAGAAGCTACTTTCTCACAGACTTCAATCTCCTTAAAATATGCTGTCAAGCTCCGCTTTAGTTTCAGTAATATTTGCAAAAAAAAAAACGAAATCTATGTAGGAAGTTTTCTTATTGTTGACATTCTTCTACATGCTAATGCTCGCGCGCCCTGAGCATTTCGAAAATAAAATGTAACAATCCCCCAGGCTACAGGACCGCCTCAAGTTGACATTTGTGACATTTATCATCTTTTTCCATGTACATTATATTTTCCTTATGTTTCAAATAGTGAATTAGTTTGATCTACAACTGTTATTGTGTTATTCGCACACACCACCACCCAGTAATTACAACTTAGAACACTGTCGACATAGAAAGGGATATCAGCTTGATGTGGTTCAGTCACCTGGGGGATATTACATTATTATTTTCTAAATGATCGGGACGTGTGAACATTATGCATTTAGAAGGATGTCAACGATGAAAGTGCTTCCTAGATTTCGGTTTTTTTTTATTCCAAATATCTCGCAAACTAGATCCGAGTGAAAGTAACACGTATAGGGAAACTTCACTCAGAATATTGTCCCCTCTAACATATTTCAAAGACGTTGAAATCGGTGAGGTCGTCCGTTTTGTAAATAATTACCTTTAATTTTTGGCATCTCTGCACCATTCATACTGCTTTATCCGCGTTGGACACCCGTCTTTCACATATATCTATTCGTTCTTTGTCTCTTACTTGGACAAATAAATTTGCTTGTTGAGCAATGCGGATCCCCATTTTGGACATAATTCGTGCAATAGGACAAAAAAATCCTTCACTGAACATATTACAGTCGTATTTTGTTGCAACGTTATGAACTGGATAATTCTTTGCGTTGAAATAATGGCTTCGCGCCAGAGCCCTCGAGTTTGAAAACAAATTTTAAATGGCTCCGTCGCGAAGCCCACGAGTTTGAGGACAAATTTTTAATGGCTACGCTCCGGAACCCTCAAGTGCAAAGACTTAGAGAAATAATCATTTCTAAACCCTCATTCATTTATAAGCATAAGTGAATAAATATATGAAAAAACATACCAATCCCAGTATACCATATGAAACAAATTTAATAAAAACATCAGTTAAATCTTACCATGGAATTTTGTACGAAGGCATTTGTTTCTGTAGAAATCTCATGTGAACTAGAATTGTGTGGAAACATTGGGCTCAGTTCTTCTTTGGCAGGCAATGCATAGAAACCAAGATCTGGAACGAACATAATTAACATATTAATAATTACGATAACAGTACCTATACATCATAAATATATTTTCTAATTATTAACTAATATTTGCAACCAGGGCTCGAGCTGCGATCAAAAAACGAATTTACGAGGGTCTGAAGCATTTCTCCCTATAAGACCATTGTCCTGGCACGGACCCGAGTTCGGGACGATAATCGAGAGAAGTCTGTAGCACGTTCTGTTGTTCGCCGCGAAAAGTAGCACATTTGAATGGTTGATTAAATATTAATTTAAGTTTTCCGAATTAATTTATCTTTCAATATTTCAAAACTCTTGGAATAGTTTTATTTAAATAATAGTAATAATTAGTACTTGTTGAATATAATATGCTGAAAGGTTGCAAAACAATTTTTAGAAGAAAATAATATTTCTACCTCTTTACTGTCCTATATTGAAAACAAAATAGATTTTATAACTTTCCTTAATACCTTCCTTACAAAAAAGCCTGCTGTATCACATGCTATGGTTAGATTTTCTTCGCGACCGTTACTTTTTTAAATAAATTGAAGTATATCCGCAAAAACTGGTGCGATTTCAGTAAACTTTTCACTTGGATCATTATTTAAACATATTTAGACGTCTATAATATAATAACAATTTACATCATTTGCTTCAGGAGAGTCCAGAGAATTATTTCCTGTTAAAAGCAACTGAATAATTGAACAACGTTCGCACTTAACGTATATATGGGCCGCAGAACTTTAATACCAATTATTTCGAACACCAATGAAAGTTGGCACCTACGCTTTTGGATTTGGGTAAGGATCAACCTGTGCTACTATCCTGCAAAAACGCATCAAACTCTCCGACGACCATCTCGAGCCCTCTATTTGTCAGCCTAACAGAAACGCTACACGCGCACAAGTACTTGGTCAACATCCATTTACAAATTACACTTAGGAAAATGCTACATGTTTTTATTAATTTTTCATCATTTTCAACAATCCTAAACATTTTCTGTATTTTAATAAAGTTTAGAAATTACAGGCGCTTGAAAATAAAATTACCAACCTTGTACACTATCACTATCAACGTGCTCCTAGCTCCATGCCAGTGGAGATCTGGAAAAACAGAAAATTGAGTTTACTAGTACTCATATGATGCACTTTTTTTAAAGCAACATTAAAGATTTTGCATGTTTTTTTTGCGTATTTGAGAATTGCAATGTTGGTAAAATAGTACATTTGCGTACTTTTCACATTTATCATTTTTATTATTTATCGCTATACTTGTGTAAAGGTCATTCCACAACAAACGGATCATTTTTTGTACATAATGTCTGGGATTTTGCTCAAATCGGAATACACTCCGTGACCGGAGTTTGTGAACATCCCTAATTTTGCGGTTACAGTATGTACCCGAAACTTTTTACACAAACCAGTAATACAGTGTTATTCAGTGTCCCAAAAAATCCCTTTGTGAAAGTTTTCTAGTTAAAATGCGAACGTTACACGTTTTTATTAATAAACATCAGTTTTTCGGTCGTGACAAAAGTTTGTGAGCACTTCCATATATAACAAATTTATTGAAAAAATTACACTTAGCATAATTACCAATATCAACGCTGATTTAATAGTTGATCTGCCTCCTTTCTTCATGATACTGTCGAAAATTCGAGTTCTCATGGAATCAGGTGAAATAGATTCTTGAAGAGAGGACAAATCAACTATCACATATACATATCTTTGAAATAAACATATACTTAAAAACAAATCAAACACATTCTGGGTTTTTAAAAACTATACGCACAGATATGTAATAAATTTTATAAATACATAGTCCCTATCATCACCTCCTTTTGAATCAGCAAATAAAAGCTATTCTATAATTAATATTTACTAATTCGTTCATTCAATCATAATGAAAAATGTAATGACTTTGTTTTTGCGAATTAATTACGTAATATAATAATTATGTCTCATAATCACTTTTTTGGCTTTGATTGTTTTGTGTTATTTATTAATCATAATTATTAAAATCATTTGTTAATGTTTTTATTACGTAATAATCATAATTGTTAATCATTAATAACATTAAATTTTGCTCAATTCTGTCACGTGTATTACTACAAAATATTGTTTCAATGTGGATATATATAGGCAAAAGCATTAAACATATTTATGCTCATTTATATTTCAAATCTTTTTAAAAGAAATATTATCATTGCAGAATCAATTGAATCAATTTTTCCTACAAAAAAATTAAAATGTCCATTCATGCTACAGTGCCTACAAGACTGTTTTCAAGTAATATTTACTGAAAATGTCACATTCCCAAACTTGTATTTTTAGTTTATGCCAAGTTTCTTCAATTATGCTTTTTGAATTGTTGACTTCAAAAAATACAAAGAAACTTGAATTCTGTAAACTGTCTCTTCAATATGCTCTTAAAATGTTCAAATCAGACCATTTGACCACTTTTCTTTTGATAAGTTCCACATTTGTGTTTGAAGATCTAAGGTATAACTGTACATCATTACACTGACATCTCTATGCTTATTTTGTTGACTCCAAATTTTGTATTTATCATCCTTGATTTGGCTTCTAACAAATTTTTATTTTACAACTTGAGCCGAGTAGTTGTTTTTATCTATGAAAATAATGTTTGTTCAAAAGTTGTAATCTTATCAAGACACATTACCTTGCAAACCCAAGTCATTTTTGCCTATTTTTAACACTTACTTATGGTCTTCATTAAGCTATGTGACCTTGGTAAGTACTTTTACTTTATATTCTTTTAAGTTCTCAATGGTTACAGATTTTTCTAAATCTTAATTCACGCCTCATTTGCTCCTTTTGTTAATATTTTTTTTGACTACTTGCAATTTAATTTTTTGAAACAATTTCTTATGTATATCAGTTTCTTATATACAAAACTTTAAAAAAACTTCTATTTATTGTACTATAATTTTCACTTTGAGAGGCTATACAATGCTATTTGCTTTCATAAAAATGTGTATTGATTCAAATAACAGACACTAGATGTATTCAATGTTCTTATAAGTTTGAGACATACGTATAAAATTATTGCTTTATACCAGTTGTTTATGTGACTGTAAATATTTCTAATAGGTATAACAATGTTGTTAAGAAGTAAACAAAAATGGCGTCCACTTGAATAACCCCACTTTTTAAATCACACTCGGTTAACAATTACACCCAAACTAAGAAACATTGGTCAGCAAATGATCTATGATCTAATTGAAAGTTTTACAACTATTACTTTGTATATTATGTTTAGCATTGTTCTATTATTACACTGTTGACTATCAAAGAGACTGGAAAAGTAAAAATGTGATTTAAATAATGAAAAAATATGTAAAAAAAAAAGAACAGCAAAAGCTAACAAGTAAAAAATTACTTTATACGATACTTGTGATTCAGCGATTCCTATTTAAAAAATTAACCTGAAATTACAATAGTATCATTGGACTTTACTACTAAACAAATAATAAAAACTATAAAATACATAAAACATGAACAAATTTTTAATAACACAGATCAGTGGTACACAGTATGATTTATTTGAATAAATTTCCATGTTGAATCGCAAATTGTGCAAAATGAAATCTTTCAAAGTATTACATAGAGCAGCTGCTTCTATTATGGTACAAGGTATAATTTCTTGTTTTGGAGTATTGGGTTTATTTATCGTGAAAAGGACACATGATCAAAAAATGTACTCAAATATTCCTGGCAGAGTTTCAAATTGAAAATCTTAGTGGAGTAACAAAACTGTATTTTTCAGCACAGTAATGCCATGATATATTAAACACATGTTCCAAAGAAAAGTACTTTGGTTTAAAAAAAAATGTTATGATTCTGTTATGGTAAATTTTATGGCTCGATGTAAATATTATACAAAGTGCATGGGAAAGCAAAATTACAATAGTGAAAATTAATATGAAGATCGCTGCAATCATATTACTACCTACAAAGTAGTAAGAATATGAGTATGTACCAATTATACATATATTCTTTATATAATTGGCTTCTCCGTTAAATTTCTAAAACTATAAAAATTAGAGGAAAGGACACTAAATATTAATAAATAAGAATAAATTCCGACTAATTTCTCGAAGTGAGGCATTTCATGTGGCAATTAAAAAATTCCTAAATTTACAATTATATATAAAATAAGTATGATATAAATAAAAAATCAGAACCCTTTTCCTTCCGTATTACCTATATTTATTAAAAGAACAGGCGAGGCTACTTAAGTGAACTACAGTCATGTATACATACTGACAAATACTATAAAGTGAATCGTTCTGTTTAAATGTAAATATTCGCGAAACTCAGAAACGGAGATCGACTCAATCAATACCACTCATTTTGACAAAAAACAAACGATCGTGTTAGGAATTTTTCTTGAAAATTCAATATACGAAATAACAGGAAAATGCTCAATTCAACGAGTCTATGTGCAGAAAAGGTTAAATTACAATGATAGAACAAACGATGGTAAAATTTCGTATAAAAATATAATTTACGTTTTAGCAAATGATTATTACACACATCTACGCACGCATATGATTGTACGTATACATACATGTGTGTGTATACGTCTCCGCCAATTAAAATGCAAACCAAGAGAACACTGACGAAAATTTCTCCGACCTATCTGGTACACGTACGTAGAGTACATTAGCGCACGTATCGATGCACATAGAAATGTCTTATACGTATTGCTTAGGGGCATGTATTTTCATATACACGTACGTGTGTATATATATATATCCCCATATATATTTTACGTATATGCGTGTAATACACATAAGGTATACAATATAATTTAGATGATAGAGATAGGTAAGATATACATCACATTTAGCTACTTACATACATACATACAATATACATATAGTCATATATATAAGAGATTGTAAAACGTAAAATGTCGAGACTGAGAAATCAGAATGAAACTAGCACTTTTTCGAAAGGTCCGAGACTATGAATGGGTAAAATATGAAGGATATCCTATTAAAGAAGAAGAGGAACCGGAGAACTTACTTTTTAGGTTCGGTGCCCGAAGAATATTTCAGTCTAGACGAAGATATTTCGTTGACGCACAGAACGGGCAGAGCGAGTACCGCTCCGCTGGTGGGCTATTCCCGCGAGCGGCGCTACTCCCCCGGATTTGGAGGGCACGGTGGTGCTGATGCGCTCATCGCAACCCAGTTCACAGTTGTACACGTGAAAAGACCCTTCCACATTTCAGAATCGACGATAAATGGGAACCAGCAAAATTTTCCTTTACAGTAGGCGCTCGTTTACTGCATCTTTCGGGGCTGTAGAGGATTAAATTTCCGAAAATTATGGAATAAACCAGGGCCAATCACACGCGCGTTCTTCCCGTCAATCATCCGTTCACTTGTTCAACGTAGGTAGATATAGGGTGGCTTGGATAAACGTACTTTATGATCACCTTACAATCTCCATTATTTGTAGCGATATCAAAAAAGTTTATTCACAAAAGTTATTGAGTATTGAAACATTTTACTAAAATAATATTATATACACCGCATTTTCAGTGATGAAAAATATGCAAGTTAAACGTGACACCGTATGTATTGCAATCCTTCCCTGCTAGGCGACAGAGTGGGGTGCGCACATATGTGTGAAAAATACGTGTGAATGAGGAGCGTTCCTAAGTACAATAAACTGGCCTACATTAAACGAGCATCTACTGTATATTGCAAATTTATTTGTATAAATAATTTATAAAATACAGTTTTTCACTCTAAGATGCGATTAAATCAAAGTAATTTATGAATAACGTATGATCTTCTGGGCAAATAATGAACGAGTAGAATCACTACGCCATGTGTTCCTATACATCAGGGTTTTTAATAACAGATGTCAGATATCATGACGGGTAATACTATGATACGTGCCAAAATAAGACGAAAATTGAGTGTACCAAAATTGCCATGGAGCATTTGATTTTTAGTTATAAACACTTAAAAAATAAAGTAAAGGTAGACAACTTGCAGGTAACTGGCAATTACAGGCAGTGGAACAAAGGGGTTTACAGTACCGTAGAAAGTCAATCGGGAGCACCGATGCCAGAAATGATCACTAGCAATGTTCGATTCAGAATCGCTTCTTTAAAAAATGGATTTTTTTTATTAAAAAATCGATCTTTTGAGTCGATTCTCTGCTGTTCGATTTTTCTGAGAATCGATTCTTAACTCCGAATCGAGAATCGATTTTTCTCTCTTCGCAGTTTGATTGGTTCTTGTGTTTCAGAATTAATTTGTCCCCAACGGAAAGACCAATTACATATAACAGTTTCACCCCGCTAGCTTTTAGACAATAGCTGAGGTGTAGGTTCTTCCTAATAACTACGCAGAACTATGCTCTTACGAACCAATCAAATAATTATTTATAATAAATAAAAGCTTATTCGTTAATACGTTTGTTCTTACTTATTGATTTCCTAATTTTCAAGCGTTCAACGCCTCAGCAATGAATTCGTACCTTTTAAGAAAGGGAGAAAGGTAAATTTCGAATATTTAAACAAAATTATTACTAAATTAAACATTTATAATCATGGAATGTAATTATTAAAAGAATCGTTAACTGATTTCAAACCTTCAAATTATACTATTGTAACTTCACCTCTAATTCCCTTTCCTGTTTAACAGAGAATTACATGTATACAGGGTCTACCATTTATCTCAGAACCCGTGTGCGCGAGAACACATACGGATGGCAACAGCGCTAAAGTTACACATTTATGTTCCTTATACTATTTTTTTAATTTATTCATTGGACCTATCGCTTTTTGGTTGACATCCTTCTCACTCATTCATTCCCTTTCATCGCATCCTTTATTAATATCGACAATATAAACAGTGAGACAAAGGTAAGACACACGTGCAGCTTGCAATCAGAAAAAATTATTATCATCGATGAATATGATATTATTCAAAAATTTGTGACATCTGAACAGAAATAATTTTCTGTGTTATATTGTTTCCACAGTTCACACATAAAAAATGGAACATGTACCTACTTCACCTAATATTGCTTACTACATGAAAGGAAAAAGTAACGTCAATCAACTAACGCGATTTATTAAAGAAAATCTACTTCAGAAATAAAATGAGATACACTAGCTGAATTACGCTGTATACTTGAATTATATAATTCTAACTTTTCGACAAATTCAATTGCTAATTACTGTAACCATCAGTGTAATTGAATTAGAATATAATTGTCTAACATAATTTTCAATCTGTCATAATATAGCCTTTCTGTGATGAATTGGTACAATTTCGTCCAGTCATTTTTCGAAAATAGCAATTGTATAATGCTTCAAAGCAACGTTGTATATACCGCCACTATAGCGCCATTTCTAACACCTCACAGCATATATGTATGTATAATAGATGCGCGGTTTTATGGTAGGGATGGAACGAGACCGAAGGACAGAAGTACAGCTGGAGTAACTCCCCTCTTGCTCGCCCATTGCAGAGGGGGGGGGGGAGAAAACGACTGATGGGCGAGTAAGAGAAGGAATGCTGCACGCATGTAAGTAATGCCTCCATTATAGCCGTCGGAGAATCCCCCACCCACCAACAGCCTCATTAGAAAGAGAGGAAAGCTACTCCAGTTATTGTCCTCTCTCTCTCAGTGTCGAATTCATCCCTACCATAAAACTGCACAGTCTATTATATATGTCTATGGGCAAGATTGACAACATTCTGGTCTGAGATGCGGCGATTCAGGTTATAAGCATGCGCGAGTAGTTCGACTTCAGGCCGGCTCGGCAAAACTCGGGCGCTATCGGCAGAAATCCAGCTATAAAAGAGAAGTCTGAAAGTCGCAACGCGAGATTTCTCGCGTCCGATTTTTGCCAAACTGAAGTCGGACTGTGTACATGCTTGTAGCACGAATCGAATCTCACTGTCAGACCAGACTATCAAGATCTTGTTCGATTTCGTCCGAATTTTAAATATTAATGAACTCAAGACCATGGCTGATTACACTATTCAATAGTCAGCTGAACTTCTAACATTCGAATACGAATCTGCAAATGGTTTTTTGTCAGCACCCTTAGTTTTCGAGAAATTAGATTTTTTGAACGTTGTTCGAACAGTAATAGTTATTCGGTTGTTTGTTGCGTCCGATTATTCTACAAACTCTCCCGAATAAAATGGTACATGTTGTTATTGCATTATGAACAGTTAAACATGTTTAAACAACGATCAAAAGGAAAAGAACACCCGAAATGCATTAATTTTTACAAATATTTTTTAATTTTTTATTGGCCGGGGTTTTTCGTTAATATCTGGTTAATGAAGCCTCACACAACATTTTCGCTAAGGAAAAAGTTGTTTCAAATCATCCCAGGTACCCCTCATTTCTGGAAGTCAAAGCTATTTTGGGACACCCTGTATATGCATTCTGTAAATGCCTATCAGATAATTAGAGAAACAAGCCTAATTATTTTACCACATCTAAAATACTTATAGAGAATAAGTTCAGAATGTTGTATTTTGTTCTGAACAATTATCTCACAGAGAGAAATATATTATTCTTCAACTAGATGAAATTTATGTACATCCTCACATAGAATTTAAGAGTGGAAAACTAATTGGTTTTGCTGAAAATAGAAAATCTCCAACAAGAGCAGTATAAACATCTTCCAGTTTTTCTGCATTTGGGAAATTCAAAGAAGTTACGATGTTATTATATGGTAGCAATTATTTCACATAATAATAGAGTTAATAAAAATATGTTTAATTGTTTGTTTAACAACAATGTAACAAACACTAATGAAAGCTTTACATTGCAACTTTTTTAACTTATGACTATGTTCATGTTTTTAAAAATATAAGAAATAATTGAAATTATTTAAATAATGATGATAAATTTTTCGTTTTTCCAAATTTTGAAGATTTAGAAGCTGCATCCTTAAAAGCATCATTTATAGATATCAGAGATATTTATAAGGCAAAATATGATAATTTTATATTGAAAATTGGTTATAAACTTAATTATAAAAAATTATACCCTAATAATATTGAAAGACAAAAAGTTAGTCTTGTATGTAATCTTTTTCATGAGTCATCTTATAGTGCAAGAAAATGTGAATATGCAAGTAAATCAGAAATCGTTAAACATAGTGGTACTCAAGAATTTTTGAAAATTATTTGATGATGATCTATTGTAAATATAAAATCTAAAGATGGAAGTGCTATGAAGTGAAATGATTTCTCAAAATCATTTTACTTTGTAGATTTATTGCCTCAAAATTTTCATGAAGTAAACCATTAAGTCGTTATTCAAGGGGATCAAGTTAGCTGTGACACCCTGTATTACTATAATGTCATAGAGAAAATTTTAAGATCAATTTAATTTTTTGTAATGGAATACTACATGTCTGTATGTATAACATAATAGTATTTTTTAAGACAAACTATTTTGTAAAGTCTGCTACATAAGATCATTGAGTGTAGAAGGTTGTAAATTAGTGAGATTTAAAGGAGTCAGATTAACGTAAATCGTAGATCGTCGTCGATTATCAAACCCTAGATATTTATGGTACAAAGTTGAAACAGACCCGCAGTTTGCATTGATTTGATTACTTTGCATCTCAATAATTTATGACCCTCAACTACATTTAATAATCTTATATGACACATCATGAACTCTTAAATATAACGAGTTTTGACTATTCAAAGACATAATATTTCTCATAAAGGTATAATATACAAAGGTATAATGTGTGATTCCACTTCAGAAAGTGCATTTCCACTTTTTTTGCTTAATGAAATTGTGCATTTTTTTACATATATATATCAATTCTATAAGCCATACTACATATAACAAAAATTCATAAAGTAAAATCATTGGAAACTATGTGATATTCCATATTATTATATATAATGCATATTTTTCTAGAATTACATATGTACTCTAATAATGCAACAGAAAAAACTCTAAAACATAGCATCAGCTTATAACACTCAGAACATGACAAAATATTTAGCAATCAAATAAAGAACAACAATTACTTGATATTCACAAATCTGTACCTTAGCTACATGGATCCCCTTATTTAAATAGATTTAATTCAGTTTTACATATGGGATTTCCTAAAACATACAATGTATTTGTATGCTTTTTTGTTAGTAAGCAACTTAAGAAAAAATCTATTAAGATGTAATTTTACAATGTAAGTGCTGAATTACTAACTGATAAAAAAATGTTTTTATTATAGCACTGAAATATTTGAATACTTGTTATAATTTTCACAAAAAACATTAAAATATCGTGTATAGTATTGATGAGATTTTATTGATTTTACCTGATAAGTTTTATACAATGAGAGACTCAATAAAGTAATTTATAATGTAAATAAATTCATGTGTTTTCATTTACAAAAAAGTATAAATGCTCTCATTTACTTGGAAAATTCACTGAACACTGTCCAATTATTGGAATCATTATTCTAAACAGGGGATCAGTTACTGAATTATTCAGAACAGAAAATGTTGTACGTCACATTCCCTTGGGTTATGATGTATCTGTATATATGAGCTATAATTTTTCAAATTCTATGCCTATTAGTACTCCATAAAGAAATTGAAATTTTTTAAAACATTAAGATGTTATTATTGCAAAATGAAAGCAGATTAGGCATATTCACATCTTCTTTCATTTAAGCTCACCAAATATCCCTTATAATATTTCAATGTACATCATATCCTATATAATGTCACAATAAATTATAAGTTCATAATATTTAATGTTCTCAAAAATATTGCAAAATGTTTTAAATTAACCTAAGGTTTAACAATATAACAATAAGCGTTAGATACATGTCTTCTATAAACTATCATGTAATCATATAATTGTTGACTACAAATATTCCATAATAATTACATACTAATTCAAGTTAAATTCGAACTATATTAACATAATAAATTGTCTATAATATTTTAGCAAATATAATATTAAAATGAGTAATATTCCATCTAAAAATAACTGTATTATATATCATTATCGTTTTCGTTGTTCCTACAACTTTGCTTACTGTACCTTGTTTTATAAAAATTTCCACCAATTCCCAAGTAAATAATTGCATTAACTACAGAAGTTTGAATAATCTAATATAAAGTGAAATATGTTATTGAAAATACTAAAAGTGTTGTTTATATTAAAAATCTTGTCCCCTTTAAACAGTAATGCGATACATTGCAAGGTTATATTTATATACACATATTCCTATGGAAATATTAGAAGACAACTTACCAATGTGTACAAGCATGGAAAATCCTTAAAATCAGGTGGAACACAGCACTTTCTTCAGAGGCTTCTAAAACACATTTCGTTGTCACGACAATATTATTTACCGAAAATACATCTCCATCGCTAGGCACGGAATCACACGGAATTTTGATTTCTAACTGTCCTCAACTGTCCTGTTTCATAAGCCACGTCATATAAATAGAGTGAAACTTACAACTAGATATTCTCTGTTAGATAAGAACATTTTAAGGTGCGTTCTACTAACGACCGCGGCACCCGCAACGATCATGTTTTCCTTCCATTGCCGACGAGGTACCCGGAGGCATGGAGGTACCGTCGCGAGCAAACTCGGCTTCCGCTAGGGGAAAAAGTGGCGTAGAAGAAAAGTCTCCCAGCACTTACTAAATTTATTTCAAGTACACAAATAAATGTTAAACCGAATGTTAATTTCGCATAATTTTCAATAACTCCGAGACCAAGTGGTAAGAGGTCTTTCCCTTACATCACTTTTTTCCCTAGCGGAAGCCGAGCTTGTTCGCGAGGGAATGTGTTGTAAAAGCGTAGTAATGGCGGCGTTCAGAAGATACAACCGTTGCGCAACCGTTGTGTTTTCTGAACGTAGCCAATCTGGTAGACATTTTCGTAGCGTCGTAAGGTATTATTTAGAACAATAAATGATTTTAAATTAATATCCCTATTTTAATTCATCTTACATGTTTTAATCACTGAACTTGCATATTTCCCTTCAATTTCCATTATTTTTAGAATTCAAAATGAAAAATTAAGATTTAATTTTTAATATACAAAATTATAAAATGTTAAAAAAGTGGAGTCAATCACTTTGACTTGTGAACGGTTCATTAATAATTACTTATTTAATGTTAACTTAAGGCGGGATTCATAGTCGCTGCTTATTCTTAAGCATTTGCTTAAGAATAAGTAGTGACTATGGTGACTATGAATCCCGGCCTTAATTATAGTAATTTGTAGTTATCACTTTCGTAATTCGTGGTACTGAGCATGCGTAGAAATGCAACTAATTTATGAATGACTAACGTCTACTAACGTCAGTGTTCATCACTTGTCGCATTCGCATTTGTTCGCATTATTGTGCATGTGCAAAACAGCAGCTAATAGAAGTTAGACACACTTTTGCCTCGTCGCTCCTCCCGCAAAGGCATGGTTCGTTCCTAATGTTCCTATGTCCATGATTGAATGACGTCTGCCAGGTCTGGCCAGGTCTGCTGCGTGTGCCACGCGTGCTAACTGCTGATCAGATTCCACAAGGCTATTTTACAAGTTTGTTATACATATCTTGACCATCGACCGTAATTAAAAACTTTACATATTCAACAGAAACGTAAAGTACATATCGAAAAAGTTGTCTAATAACTAAAAAGTTGATGTCTAATTTCATTTGTTGAAACTGTTGTTCTTTGACTATAGTTTTTAAACGTAATTTGAATTCTAGGTTACACAGTTTTCTTATCACATGATGATAAGTGATTTCTACCGTAAAAAGCATATTAAGCGAAATGTATAAAACGAATTATTTAGCTTATTGAGAAGAAAACAATAGCATGAAGTAAATAAATAGTATAATGAAGATTATTATATAACATTGAAAATTGTAAACATGACAGTGGCAGCAAATTTAAAAATAATTCATGATCAAATTTTAGCTGCTTCTGCTAGGAGACCGTTGGTATGCCTATATTCTACATTCCTATTTTACGTTTAACAGTTTCATTATGAACATATTTTATTTCTGGCATAGTTCTATATTTTTTTATTATTACACATGTGTAAGGGTGTAAAAAAAATTATTAAGAAAGATATTAAAAAAGATATTAATGCATTACAAAAATATATATAAAAGAACATTTTTATTACAGGAATATAAAGATTTTGAACCACGCCTGGTAGCTGTGAGTAAATTAAAACCTCCAGAATTGATTATAGATGCTTATGAAGCTGGTCAAAGACATTTTGGTGAAAATTATGTAAATGAATTAGTAGAGAAAGGAACTAATCAAAACATTTTGGCAAAATGTAGTGATATACGTTGGCACTTTATTGGTCATTTACAGAGAAATAAAGTGAACAAATTATTAAGTGTTCCAAATTTGTATGTCATAGAAACAGTTGATAATGAGAAGTTATTATCTGTACTGAATTTTTCATGGCCCAAATTCAGAAGCCAGGATGATTTAAAATTAAAAGTTATGATACAAGTCAATGTCAGTAAAGAAGAAGGTACTATATATAATAGCAATTTTGTGATTTAGATTTCTTGTTTTTAAAAATTTCAAATTTAAATTCAGATTTTAATTGAATATAATATTTTCAGGAAAAAATGGTTGTGAAGTCTCAAAAGTTTCTGCTCTTGTAAAATACATTATTAATAATTGTAAAAACTTAGAGTTTGTAGGACTTATGACAATAGGGATGTCTGGATATGATGCGACTAAAAGATCAAATCCTGACTTTTTACAATTAAGAGAATGTAAACAAAATGTTTCCAAAGAATTTGGTATTGATTTGAAGAAAATTGAATTATCTATGGGGATGTCAAATGATTATGAGCATGCGGTAATTTCAACAGAAAATTTTTCTCCTTTATCTACATAAAATATAATATCGAATAATATAAGCAAATTTGTTTAGGTGGAACTGGGCAGTACAAATGTCAGAGTGGGTAGTGCAATTTTTGGAGAACGACCAAAAAAAGATATTTAAATGAATTCGGTATATAATAATTTTTATTTTTTGTATTATAAAAAGAACAAATGGTGTTATCTGGTACTTATGGTGGATTTGCAGTGATTAAACAATGAAACCTTTTCATTTTGCTGAGTTGTATTTAAAAATTGATCTGTATGGCTTTGCTGTTATGATATATCTATACAAGAACTAGATGCATTTTGAATGTATACAGGGTGGGGCAATAACTATTACCACCTCAGATATTTTCGTAACTATAAGGTTCATAGAAATATTTGTGTAACCAAACTTGCACAGTACAAAGAGAGCCATCCGATGGCACTAATAGTTTTTTTGCAGGTGGAGGTCCTTTGGATATTTTAAAGTCACATCCATTTTTTTAAATGGATCGGTATGTTTTTGTTTCTGTAGAATGATAGAGGCGCTAAAAACGAGTTCAATGACCTATTATATAAGATCATAGTAGGTGTTCGAAATAATGACCATCCTATCAATGCAACACTGGATTTTTTTTATGAGTGATGGATGTGAAAGTCTTATAACGCCTGAACTTATTGACGCACAGGCTGCAACAATTCACTGTTGCATGCTTGAGGTGTAGTTAGTACTTTGTTGTACGAATGTCTTTCAATGTTCCCTATAGAAAGAAATCTATAGGTGTTAAGGGGGAGACTCCGTGAGCTGTGCCGCGCGCTCACACAAGCAATGAACCATGTATGTATACGCCATGCACGAGAGAGACAATCGATTTCGTAAATATCAACTTCTGCTTCAATAATTGCAGAAATGAAGTTGTCGCGGATATAGAACTCACGGTAGACTTCAATACAAGGTGGTCTGGTCCGTATAAACACCATACGTTGAAAGAATTAGAATTTTAGAAAGTGTGCGATTGTGACTGACACCGCTGTAAAGACACAAGATGGCTGCACTGGAAAATAGTTTGCACCGAATATTAACGTATGTTAACGATTTATATCTCAAAAAATTGCTCCCAATTTGCTCCTTTCGAATCTGAAATTTCTCACATCGCACCGTTTATATTTAATGAGAAATTCGCAAATGAAAAAGCAAAAGTTTGTTGGTTGCAAAATAGATAGTATAAATATGAAACTGTTAGTATAGGATAATGGTCCTTTTACACAAATATTATGGTACCAAACAATTGCTGTCTTATAATAATCAATGATCAGATATCTCAATAACAACTTATTAACATCGCAGAGGGAGGGGAGAAAGTGACTGAAGGGCGATGAGGAGAAGGAATGCTGCATGCAATTATATGTCTCCACGGTATCTACTATACCAGTAGGGGAATCCCCTACCAACAGCTCCATTAGAAAGAGAGGAAAGTTACTCCAGTTATTGTCCTCTCTTTCTAGTGTCGGCTTCATCCCTACCATAAGATCGTGCAATCTATTATACATGTCTATGCACTCATATTCAGGTATATTTTAATTTGTAGAGGCGTCCAGTGACATGTATTCACTATTTGTTTCTAATTGTAAACAAAAATATATTAACTCATGTATTTCATCTTAGTTGTACTTTATTATAAATGAAAACGTGAAATTATTAATTACTTGTTTTCATATATCTAGAAATAAAAATTATTCCTTTTTAACCTTTTATTATAATAGTCCTTATAAAAAGAAAAAGTGTATAAAGGTATAAACATTTTAATTGTCAGTCAAATGTAAGTAAAATATATGTATTTGTTGCAGGCACATACTCTAAATACGTCATTTCCATTATCTTTTGTAACAAGAATATCGTTATCTTGAAATTTTGTGTATTATAATATATTATTAATAAAGCATTATTGAACTATATAAAATTAATTGACATACACATTTTTAATCTAATTTACTTTTATACAGCATGGCATCAGCTTCAAGTACTAGTGCTCGAAGTTTATTCATTGAGTCAAAAATGAGATTGGCTGATAGAGTTCAAGTCAACGTAAATAATATTGCTTCCCTTGCAAGGCAAATACAAAGGGGTTCAAAAAGTAGTGATGTAATAGCCTACACATATTTCGTATAATACATTATGTAACAGAGATAATTCCTTCTCTAATCAAGGCATGTTTACAGATATTAATGCACAGTGCAAAAAATTTTACACAGCAAGAACATGGTTTAGAAGCAGCAGAAACCAATTTAAACAAAATTGCCCTTATAGCTACACATTTAGAATATCAAATAGAATGCATCAACAGGAGTTCTATAATCTTAGAAGATGTTACTGAACAAATACGTGCTATGCAAAGATAAATTATTCTGATCAATATTTATCACAAGTTTATTATTCATACGTAATTTATTATATACATACAACACAATGTATTCAAAACATTAGGCACAAATGGACCTATATAATTCGTTTTTATTGGTCTGAAAAGTGTACAGTGGACAAAAAACAAATAAAGAAAAATACATCATCAAAAGTGGTACTATGTTATATTTGCATCTTATAACTATTTATTTATCTTCCTCTAATACACTTATTTGTCACCTTCACTGAATATATTAATGTGGCCAGTTTCTAATGGACCAGCTTGTTTGTATAAGATATAAATTAATATTTTATTATATTACTACAATTACTTTAATTTTATTATGAATTCATTAACCTTAATAAAATATTTCAAGTAATTAAAATTACTGAAAGTACAATATCATTAATGTAAAAATAAAATATGCTAATATAATATAATCTTTGATATGAATTTTTAATTTAATCTAGAAATTTAAAGAAAATTTTGTATCCATATAAGTATATGCATTCAAATTTTTAATTGGTACATAAAGAATAATATTTTGTACTTTTTGTTGATTATTTTTTTATTTTATATATTTAAATTTATAGTTAGAAATAGAAAAAAAATAACTGACATAATTAGATTTAAACTCATATCTTTTTGGAAACATGTAATATGTATGTAAATACCCTTCCTTGTTTACACAAAATTTCGTAATTTCACAGTGTGTATAATAGGACTTACGTTAAATTGTTTACAAGTGTAACATTATATTGTATTTAACCAAATAATAATTCAATAAATTTTTACTACACATACAAAATGAAATGTGCTAAATAAGTGATTTTTGTTATGAAACAGACTTTCCAAAGTATTATAATATGAGATTTATCAAGGGTAAAGAATATCATAATGACCAGGACGATACAGTAAATGAACTGATGGAGTAGCACCTTCAGGGAAATCATGTGCAGTTACTTCAGTTCCTGCACCTCGATCCATGTAACGAACTCGTACTCCTGTTCCTAAAGCAGTACTCATTGCTATAATGTGAATATGATCAGATTCTTTATACATTGGTTCCACTTCCTACAAAATTGTTAAACAAATTTAATGTTTCACAAACTTAAATAAATGGTATCACCTTTATTTTTTTGTACAAATTGTACAATGTGCAACTCTTATTTATAATATTATACCTACTTGGTGACAGAATTCTGAAATAGTGCGTTCTCCTTCAATAAAGTGCTGATAAAAATCAGCTTCGCGCTGTAATTGACCAGATGTAATTAATCTAAGATATACAACAACATAATCAGAATAACCTTGTTCATTAAAAAGTTTATGCAACTCAATATAACTTGATTCTGCATCACCTCCTACTTTATCAATTACTTCCATAAACTGCAAACAGAAGAAAATATTGTTTCTAACATGCTATATGTTGAAGTAATGTATACAGACTCAAGTAGATATGCAAAATAATAAATTTACTATAGTATTCTATATATATCTGTTCATATTTACCGTATCATGAAAGTCTTCAACCGTAAATTGAGGAAATCCTAATGCTACTAAATTGTCTTTACTTTGTAAAGCAAGTTCACGAAATTTTTCATATTCATCCTTATTTCCAATTAGTTTTTCAAGATAAGCATAACTAAAAGCTCTAAAAAAACAATTTCCATCTGGTCTAGTTCTTCTGATATAAGAATATTTTTGCCCTAATGCTTTAGTTTTTGAAAGATATACTTCATCTTCTGTATATTCACGTTCCAAGCTTTTTATTGATTCTTTTTCACCAACTAAAGCAATAGATTCAGAAATCTAGAAAACGAAACAAACTTATTTTATATTCACATATTTTTTGCCATTGTATTTCTCAAATTATTTTCTTACCATAAAATATTATGAATACATAAATAAAAGAATTATTCTGAATGCACTGAATGATACATTTTTGTTGTAAATGATGTAGTGATCAAGATGTTTACTGAACAAGAATACACAAGAAGACAGAAGGACTATACATTAATGACAATTGCTTAAAACAATTAATCATAGTTTCTAATTTACTAATGGAAAATGATTAATAATTGACAAGAAAATTTTCAACAGACAAATTTCAAAAATGACAGAAAATGAATATTAACCTCTTTTTCAATTCGCCTTTGTTGCTGAAGAATCAACTCATCTTGGTTGACGTCTGCAATAAAAACGAATATCATAAATTATATGTCTATGATTTAAAATTATAAGTTGTGTTTAAAAACCTGTTTTTTCCGTTAACTGTCCTTTCGAAGATTTCTCTTCCATATTTCAAGAGATTTTTATAAATTTTGAAACGACTGTCAAATTACCAGTCGTAAATAAAAGCCCGTTGCCCATGTGGAAATTGAAAAGACATTTACCGTCGTCTTTAAACGCTGTAGATTGGCAACTGTATTTCCCAAATTAAATACTTAGACGTTTAGTTCATTCATGTTAAGGATCGCCCTCGTTAAAACAAAACCCACGTAAGTTTTACAGGAACATATGTGGTATTGAAATATTATCTGTGTAATCGGACCTGTTTATTTCACATTAAAATGAATCTCACAGATTTTGAAAATATACGTTCATTTGAAAAAACAAATATAAGGTACTATAAAGGGCGGCCCTGTTAACCAATCTGCTCTAAATAGATATTACTAGATTCTGCTGCAGACCTGATGTACAGATTTGTTAGAGGGTCTGCTACACCAGTTCTGTCAGTAAATTGGCAGCAGAAATACAGCAGGCCTAGTGACATGATCTGACATCAGAAATCGAACAGACCTGCTAATATTCTGACGGCAGTTTCACGTCAGAAATGCAGTAAAACTGTGCAACTTACTTTATTACAGATTAAATCGATTACACTTCATCTAAATGCATCTGCAATCGATATTTAAGTATTTAAATGATTATTTAATATCAAATTACAAAATTAAATGTATATATTAACAAATATTAATAATATATGCTAATGAAATATTAACTTTTCTGTATTGCTAGGCGTTTATATTTCTTCTATTTTATCGGTGATAAGAAATAAGTATATGTAAATAATGCACTGCTAAATAATACATATTTACATTTTATGTAATAATATATATATACTCGTAATAATGTTCAAAAACATGGTTATAAGCTCCCACTCTACTTCCAGCGTGCTTACACCAAGCATATCTCTAATCTCTACCCCTGCCTGTGCGCGCTGCCCCTTCAGGTTTCTCCGCATACAATCCACGTTTCAAATAAAAACGTAGAATATATCAAAAGGAAGAAATCACGGACATCAGGTAAATTCTCATGGACAGTAACTGAATGAACTGGAGTAACTTTTCTCTCTTTCTAATGGGACTCTTGGTGGAGGATTCTCCTCCGGCTGTAGTGGAGACATTACATGCGTGCAGCATTCTTTCTCCTCATCGCTCTCCAGTCGCTTTCTTCCCTCCCTCTGCAATCTGCGAGCGACAGAGGAATAACTCCATCGCTACTTCTGTCCTTCGGTCTCGCTTCATCCCTACCATAAGACCGCGCAGTTAGGATTGAATCGATACCGCCAAGGTATCGACACTTTTACTCATTGCTAGTATTGTATGAAGGTATCGATACTTACTCGGTATCGAAACAAAACTATCGATACCTACTTGTATCGAATTATATTTTCTTAACCTTGATTGGTCGGGGTTTTTCGTTAATATCTGGTTAACGAAGACTGGATAACATTTTTGCTAAGGAAAAACTTGTTCCAAATCGCCTCACGAGTGACTCATTTCAGGGACCTGCAACATTTTTGTTACACCCTGTATAACTGGATGTTGCATTGAAAACCCAAAACTGTGTCCAATTTTGTGTGAGAGAGAAAGGTAGAGTTTCCCTCTCGTCCATAATGCGCATGCGCCGATATCGTCGTACATGGGAAATAGTAGAAGAGCAAAGTTGAGCAAAGTAAGTGAAGGTAAGTAAGTGACATGGCAACGGCGAATCACCATCGGCGATATCGCGCGTGCGTGTTACGGGCAAGTGGGATATTACCAGATATTACCTCTGTCGCTCGCACGATATCTTTCTCCCTCTCACGAGGTTGGTCACAAATTGGCCCCACGGGGAATATAGGCAATGCGACATCCAGTTGTATGTGATCCAATATGATCTAAGGGTTTGATCCAGTTTGATCGCCGAGGAACTTTCTTATCCGCCGATCTGTCAAAAAATGTAAATGTTCTATTGTGATTGAAGGTTTAAGGTTTCTGACATACGGTAATGCGATCAAAGCAAGCTATCCGATTAAATCGGAACATTGGGCGGATGTAGAAAGAAACCTTTAAGTGATATTAAAAATATACCATTTATTTTTTAAATCCCATTATGGCTCTTCGTAAAGTAAAAGGAAATTTCGAACGTATGTTCGATAAAAATTTAACCGATTTAGTACGTGGAATTAGGAACAACAAAGAAAATGAGGTAAGTTTCTAATTATTTGCTGCAGATTAGTTTCAAATTTGAATTACAACGGCATAACCTCATTGACCCATAAGTTAGTAATCTAAATTATTATTTTTTTAATAATTATCCTTATTTCTGTTACTATAGGCAAAGTACATTGCACAATGCATAGAAGAAATTAAACAAGAATTAAGACAAGACAATGTTGCAGTCAAAGCAAATGCTGTGGCAAAACTAACATATGTAAGTTTAGTATATGCATAATTTTTTGAAGTAATTACACGTTTTACCTTATTAATAAAATTTATTTGTATTTATTTAGCTTCAAATGTTGGGATATGATATCAGTTGGGCTGGTTTCAACATAATTGAGGTGATGTCTTCTGCAAAATTTACATTTAAACGTATTGGTTATTTGGCGGCAAGTCAAAGTTTTCATGCAGACACAGAAGTATGATATTGTTTGAAAGTGACATGAATTTATATCTCAAAGAAATCTGATAGATACATATATTACATTACATAATTACATGTAGTCAGAAGAGTCAACATAATAATTGATTTCTGCATTGGTTCTCCTTTAACTATTTTCTCACATTAAACAATGTATGTGAAGGATGTTCTATTGAAATTTTCTTACCTTAATGTGTGAAACTAATAACACATGAACTGTATTACATGTGTATTAAATTTGTATAATAAATGTGTAATATCCATGTATCTGTAGAAAATTGTCAGATTTCTGAAGATTCTAAATTAATGTAAAGTAATTCCATTATTTTTAAATGAAAGCTTTAATATTTATACAATTTATTGCAGCTTTTGATGTTAACTACCAATATGATTCGTAAGGACCTAAATAGTCAAAACCAATATGATGCTGGGTTGGCTCTAAGTGGTCTATCTTGTTTCATAAGTTCAGATCTTGCCCGTGATTTGGTTAATGACATAATGACGCTATTAACTTCTACAAAGCCGTATTTACGAAAGAAAGCAGTACTAATGATGTACAAAGTTTTCTTGCGATTTCCAGAGGCCTTGCGGCCTTCTTTTCCTAGATTGAAAGAAAAATTAGAAGATCCAGATAGTGGTGTACAAAGTGCTGCTGTGAATGTAGTCTGTGAATTAGCAAGGAAGAATCCAAAAAATTATTTAAGTTTAGCACCTGTTTTTTTCAAGCTTATGACAACATCTACCAATAACTGGATGCTAATAAAAATCATCAAATTGGTAAGTAAATGAAATTTCTTAGTTTTATATAAGTAAAGTGAAACAAATTAATGGAAATGTTGGATCATTGTTATGATCAGTAAATATTTACATATAAACATATTTTCTGAACATGAGCCAAGTAATATTGGTCTTATTTCACGTGCTCAGTTCTCCACAATAACTCTGATTGAGCCAAAAATGGGTCGGCGACTCACTCAACCACTAATTGACCTGATTTCAAGGTTTTCATATTAGTTGATTATTTTCTCTAATTAAAATATAGTGAAGTCATAGATGTTAGTTGTATAGTGTGCGTTAATAGAGTGTACCTACTTTTACTACGTATTTTTAAACATTCACTTTGTATGTTGTGTAAATTATACCTAGAAATATCCATAATTATTAAGTCTTGTTATATTTATTAGATTATAATTATATTTCCAGTTTGGCGCATTGACACCTCTAGAACCTAGGCTTGGCAAAAAATTAATAGAACCCCTTACAAATTTAATACACAGGTATTTAATGCATTTTTATCAAATAATATTGCGCTTGTAGGTTCAATTATTGCTTGTGTAAAATAGCTTCATATTTCATTGCAGTATTAAGAAAATATGATTTGAACACTTATTCTTTCTTAACCTTTCATTTTCATATTTTATTGCTGTTATAAATAAGCATGAATGTAAAATGTTAAGTTATGTAACTTGTTTATTATTCTTAACCTTTATGTTAACTTTCCAAATTATTAAGAATTTTACTATTTATCAACTGTTCAGCCCAAGATTAATTATGTCATATTACTGGTTTTTAGTACATCAGCAATGTCCCTGTTATATGAATGTATAAATACAGTAATCGCTGTATTAATTTCCATATCATCGGGCATGCCAAATCATTCTGATTCGATACAGCTCTGTGTTCAAAAGTTGAGAATATTAATAGAAGATTCTGATCAAAATTTAAAGTATTTGGGATTATTAGCAATGTCGAAAATTTTAAAGACTCATCCTAAAAGCGTGCAAGCTCATAAAGATCTTATAATGCAATGCTTGGATGATAAAGATGAAAGTATAAGATTGCGTGCCTTGGATTTATTATATGGAATGGTTTCGAAGAAAAATTTAATGGAAATAGTTAAAAAATTAATGGTACATATGGATAAAGCTGAAGGCACAGCTTATCGTGATGAACTACTTTCAAAAATTATTCAGATTTGTTCCCAAAATAATTATCAGTTCGTTACTTTCTTTGAATGGTAATGTAACAACACATATGTCAGATATTTTACTCATATTTGTTTGCATAATCTGTTTAATGCTAGTTCATATTTATATTTGTAGGTACATATATGTATTGGTTGAACTTACCCGAATGGAAGGTACTAAACACGGACCATTAGTAGCAACTCAATTACTTGATGTAGCAATTCGTGTACAAGCGATACGAAAATATGCAGTTCAACAATGTGCCTTATTGCTAGAGAATTCTTACCTTTTAACAGGACAACCAAGAGCAACAATGTCTGAAGTTTTATATGCTGCTGCATGGATTTGTGGAGAGTTCTCTAGGTATTTCACAATTTACTTGTATTGATTTAAATTAAATTTACAAATAAAATATTATTGATGATATATTATATTAATAGTGAATTGGAAGATCCTCTAACAACATTACAATCGATGTTACGATCGCAAGCTTCTAGCTTACCAGGACATATTCAAGCTGTTTATGTTCATAATATTTTGAAACTTGCTACAGCAACATTATGTAAAGCTGAAAAAGATGAAGATACCGAAACAATGAAACAGGTATGTCATACAGTTCTCAATTTTTTTTTTAAATTTTGTTTGTAGGAATAAATAATTGGAATTCAATTAATTTTTATATTACACCTGAAATTACACATTTTATAATACTTGTTAGGTATAAATCATGATAAAAATGTTTGTATTTTATAGATTTTTGAACTGAAAGATAAAATAGCAGCTTTTGTGTGCAGTGGGGACTTGGAGGTACAAGAAAGATCTAGTTCTGCATTGGTTTTACTTGAATATTTAAAAGAAAATCCTGGATTGGCACAAGAGTTGATGGAATCTTTTGAAGGAGAGCTTAATCCTGTTGCACCTAAAGCACAAAGGAAGGTAATGATTATTTAAATTTTTCCTTGTTAGCGAAACTGGGGCAATAATATGTGTATGTATCGCTATACACAGTCACGGGTGTGTGTGTGCTGTGCATCATTACGGTGTCGAACGTAGTTCCTGAAATCCGAAACTTTTATGTGAAGCGCGCTTGAACGGGGGACACCAAGTCCGATAAGATGTTAGGTCTATTCTTATATCTCGTCTGTGTGTGGTGTCGGACGCCTAGTGATTCGCGCGTGACAATTTGTTTCCATCGGCACTTCGATCGATTCGGAGTTTACCCCGAAGGAATCTGCGCTGTCTGCGCTCTTAATCAGAGAGCCATTGACATGCTTAAAAATTTACAATAAGTTTTATCTAGTACATTTTTAAATATTTATATTTATTCGTTCAAACAATAATATATCTAGTAGAAATAAGATACTTGTACTTCTTAGGTGCCGATTCCCGAAGGTCTGGATTTAGATTCATGGATTAATGATCCACCATCTGAAAGTTCAGACTCAGAAGATTTAGATATGAACGATATTTTTGTTAAGAAATCGAATGATTCATATTCTAAACGACATTTTAATGAACCATCACCAGATGAACTTGAAAAACGCCGTGAAGCTAGAAAACTAGAACAACAAAATAATCCTCATTACTTGAAAGGCACATTTAAGAATTCTACTTTATACCATAACTCATCAAATATGTATGAAGAGTTTGATAACATTCCTGTCGCCGAGTTGGATATTCCAGTGTCTTTGAAAATTACTAACAGTCATAAGAGGTATACAGTACAAGGAAAGAAGAAAAAGAAATCCAAGAAAAGTATGTGTGCCTTCTACATTATGTCTTTTGTATATTTTTGGAGTTATTTATAAATTATAATTATTCAAACTTATTTAGGTAAAAAATCTGCTTCAGAAGATGAACAGGATGAAGATTATCCTATTCAAGTGGTAAAAACTGGCATAGGTGAACTTCCACCAGGTGCTGAGTTAAGTGATAGCGATGAATATGGTCAAGTGGATGCAAATGATCCACACAGAGCTTTAAATATTGATCTAGATATGCCTTTGAGGGATGATGAAAGGTTACCTGTTTTAGAACATAGAGTTATTGAAAAGAATACGATTCAAGAAAATATTGAAGTGAAAGGAAAGAAGAAAGAAAAAGTAAATTTTTATTTTGTTTCTATTTATGTTCCATGAAATTACAATATTATATAAAATTTTGTTTTTCAAGGGTTTTAAAAAATCTAAGAAAAAAGTAAAAGAAGTTAAAGAGAAACGACATGACAATCAGTTGGAACTCACTGATATGTGGCTGGAAAATAACATTTCTTCAGAAAATATTCAATCTGTTGTTACCAGTGAGTATGCAGAGGTGCTTAGTGAGAAAGAATCAGTCCAGAAGGATGTTAAACGTAAGAAATCAAAAAATCCAGAGAAGTATAAGAAAGCCGACAATGACTCAAAACATAGAAAATCAAAGAAATCTAAAAGTAAAAAGGAGAAAAAGTCTTCAATGTATGAAGAATTAGTCAAAAATAAAGTGCTTTCTATAATGTATGACTTAAAACAAATTCCTCACGAGACAAATAAATTAGTTGCATCAATACTCATTACAAATAATTGTGAAAATTTAGTAAAGGAATTAGTGTTTGACGTTCCAGATACATCCTCACTAAGATTAATGAGAAATGTAAGTTACATAAAGCAGTTTTAAGTAGAGGAGAACCATGTTATTTTATGATTAAATATTTCAACTTTATGTTATTTTAAATTTATCTCTTTTTTAAGTTAGACATAACTTTAACTAAATGTAACATGAAAATGAAGAACATACGCTCCATTTCTTTTTTAGCTTGGGGACGAATGTGGTATAAAACTGCCATTCCAATTGTCTCCACAAACTAGTAAAGAAACCGAATTTACCATTTTGATTTCGGATGTAACTTTTGCTCAGAGATTAAGAGGCACTCTTACATATATGATAGAAAGCAAAGAAAGTACATTGCAAGAAAAACTTGATTTCACCATGCATCTGTTGTGTAGTATGTTTATGGTTGGTCAACTATCGCATAGAGATATACTGACCGAATTGCTTAAAAGTGGTCAACTTATATATAAAACCAAAAAAGAAGTTGGTTTGTCTCAAGATTTTCATGTAATTTTAAATTTAATTTGCTGTAAATGTAATCTCACTCTTGTGGAACAAATTAATGATACTGCATCCCTGTATGGACACTCTTTAAAAGGACATCATGTGTGCCTTTTATTAAAATATAATGTGAGTAGAAAATAGTATTTTAAAGTTATGTTTGTGATTGCAGTAAGCATTAATACATATTTCTTTCTTTCAGAAATCATCTGGTAATTTGGTCATTGAAGGCAAAGGTGACAATAATACATTACTGTCAGGAATTACGGAAGAAATTTTAAGGATTCTGACATAATGTTGATATGAAGTGAAGTGTCTGTATTTTAAAACTCGTCATGTTCATTGTATTACTCAACGGTAAGATGAACATTCGACAGCATTCATTACACATACAATAATGGTATAGAAAATTTATTTGCAAACTTATTAAATATTTTCTGAGAACAATGTTATATAAACACCCACATCCAATTTATATAATACAGTTTGTTACATATGCATACAAAATAAACATATATGTGTATATGTTATAAATAGACATATATGTGAGTACATACTACGTATATGTGTGCGTGAATTAATGTTTTAATAAAAGGGAGAAGACATTTTTATTAACAGGAATTGAAGATATCAGGACAAAGGTAGTTCATTTTATTTATACATACCTTCAATTAATAAATTAGAGTGCAATAATAAAATTAAATATTTATTTTAATTGCCTTTGTAACGCTTTATATAATAGGAGTTTTTTTAAATGTAATTTATTATCTGTAAATATTACCTCACAATTTTTTAAACATTTTCAATTTAGTAATTTTCTTCAAAATGGATGAACTTAAGTTTTACGTAAATGTAAGATGTGTATAGTTCATACTATTAAAATATTGAACTATTTTGGCAAAGTGATGGCAAAGCACATCAATATGTGAAATGTTGACTGTAAGATTATCGAATTGTAAAATATTTGAAATACTATAATGGAAAAATTGCAAATATATATGTATATTAGAAATTGACTATTTTGTAGACTGATATCTTTAATTTTGTGTTATTGGAAGATTATTATCGTAATTATATGGTTGAACTCCTTATTCAATTGTAAAATATACCACGGATACTCGCGAACTGTGTGAATGTACATCAGTGTTTCTCAGCAGAGTCTATACCTTCTGCATGTAATGAATTTGTTATATCAGTAATTTAATACGTATAAGGAATTATAATAAGTACACATATAAATACACAAAACAGTAACACGTGGAACACCAAATGTAAATAGCTAACACCTGTATCCTATACTGATAAACAATATTTTTATTTTAAGTACTTTCCAAAAATGAACTTCATTTACACGATAAACGTATCTTCTGTTAAGCAGTTCATTTAATTCTATGCAACGGCTTATTGCGTTTACATGGAATGGTTTGTTATGCATAATAGTTATTTAAATTTAACAGTTTTTCTAACATTGATGGATAATTGTCAAACGATCAATAGTATTAATGGTATGGATCAGGAAATAACATTTAAAGATCAGATAAAAGTACCTTCGCTCTTTAACAAGTGTAAGCAGAATTCAAATATTGGTAGTGCATATTTGGATACAGAATTTTGCTTTAATTTTCATTTTAAATATTTGTTATTCATGCAAAGTTTTGAATTTTCCTATTCCGTTTGTATTATTTGGGAACATGAATTTAAAAAAAAAATGCTTTTTATTATTGTATTACAATGACACTTGCTGTACCAAAAGCGATTGATTAGCAACAATTTTGTCCTTTAAAGATAACATAAATAGCATATTCATAACAAATAATCTTCGATTTTACATTTGCATTTATTCATAATATTAAATACATTATCAATTTATGGAAACAAAGAATATATTTTACATTGTTTGTAGCTTATGTATAATAATGTTTATAATATTCCTTTTTACGAATAATAATAATATGTTACATTTATTCATAACCAAATTTTTTTAATCTTTGTACGTGATATATTTAAAAAACATAGTCTCAATACGTTAAAAATATATTTTCTGCAAACAGTTCTTTTTTTATTTCATTAAGAAAAGTATAAGCATATCATAATTTTTCCATTTCCCAGAAGTGTAGTTTTTGCTATCTATTAAATTCAAAAATACAAAATATTTTACATTATTTAGGCTGTCTACTCGCTACGGTGGACGGTGGGTAGGGTGACAGCGGAAAGACGACTCGCCAACATTTTGGGGTCTTAAGCCTATTTATTCATTATATTTCTTTTTTTTACTTCTTTCCCCCATGCTCGTTTCACAGCCGGGACTTGCCAGGGACCAGGGACCCACAACTTGGGCATTCGCGGACGGAGGTGCTGCTCTTGTCGCAGCGGTATCAAAACTGCGGTATCAACATCGGCTCTTGTGCTTGCGTGCCAACTGGTGCCAACAACTTCAATACGACTCGCCTCCGTCCGACCATTCCGCCGGTTTTTGCACATTTCTTGGGTGTTTATCTGTACCGACCACCCATGTCATCCTACCCCGTGAGGAATGCTGAAAGGGTGTCAATGTGTTCCACGGCGGTCACGCGTATTCCAACCCCTGGACTGATCCTTGCTTTTTGTCCTTGTTAGGGTACTGGGAATTCAATTTTAAGGTATAGAAGCTATGATAGAGTACGGGGTCAACGAAATTTAATGACCATTTCATCTTTCGTTCGAACCCTCTAGTTTAGAAGGTAGATTTTTTTGTGAACATACATCATTATGTTAATGAAAATATATTATTTTGTTAACACGACATTAGCATCCTTTACAGAGATGTAGGCTTACTATATGACGAATGGCGGGCGTTTCAAAATTCGTATTAAATGCATCCCTTATTTATAAATATAGTATTGTATATTTGGGTAATAAAAATGTACAGTTGAATATTTATACATATAAAATACAATTTATTCACAATATTACGAATTATTTAACCGATTACATTTTTTTCTTTTTGCGCTAACAGACATCGCTTGTCGTATTAGCTTACATGTTCTCGCCTTACGCCGAATATATTTACATGTAATTATCTTATTTAAATAATTACAATAATTCTTAATAATGTATGTCAAAATATAATCTACTATATAATTAATCAAATCATCTTTATGCCTGCAAATGAAACTAGATACAAATACTACATGTTTCTTAATATACATAGACATATTGTGTACTTTTTAAATCTTTTCGACATCTTTATACAATAACGAAAGTTCCAACATTTGGTCGGCAGCCAAGGTGGACCACGATAGGTTCTTGTCCATGCTAAGGTGGACCATTGGTTCTTGTATACGCTAAGGTGGACCACGGGGGCAGCACTTCCCCGGGAACACCGAAACCCCGGGCGTTAACACTCTCATTTCCTCTCTGCTTGTATATTTCAGTTCGGTGGAATGTTACGAAGTGTTAATGCGTTGCGATCAGTTACGATTTCCCTTTAGGCTATTTTAGACTATTTAGAGTTGACAGTGACAGTTTCTGAAGTGCCCATTTTTTAATTCCACGTACTTGAGTCACGGAACGTCATATCATTGAAGGTGAGCTTCGTGACAATTGTGACGTAGTATATTTTCGATTTCACAATTCAAAGAAAAAATAAATGTTGATAGATGAATGAATTTTAAACAATAACAGAACCAGGGACGAACAGTTCTGATACCATCAATCTAATCGGAGTCATCGACTCGAGATGATGAATTTTGAAGGAGAACAAGGATCCATGAGATCCTCGTCATCACGAAATATTATTTGCTGTCTTGCAACAGCTAGATATAACAGTTCAAAGTAAATCTCCTTAATTCGTGTTTAACCGATACTTTTATATAATCATAATATTTGACGCATCATTCAGTAGCAAATGTTTCAGTTTCAATACAAATGCACATTAACCATGTTAAAATGTTTTTTAGCGCGTATAGATATTTCACAGGCCATCCAATTTTGGGTGTACTCTCAGCTGAAGAAAGCAAGAAATATGGATGACTTGCAAGATCAAAGCGATCATGGTCTAATCTATTGTAGATACGATAATAGTACCAATAACAATACATTAATGGAGTATCTTGAATTAGATAATCGCACAAGCGATCCACTCAGTAAGCAATGTTAAAAAGTAACACAAGTTGAATGTGTATAATGTGACGGTCTATATGCTAAATGTTAATGTAATAATAACTATATACATTGATATAAACTTATAGATGAACCAGAAGTAACTATGAATTTAAACGAAGGTTCTGTACAGCTACTACTTTACCCATTGGAAGAATTAGAAGAAGATATGTTTGATTATGAAACAGATACTTCTTCGCAGGATGGAAACATAGAATCTCAGGTAATTTATTGGCTGTAAGGAAATTAATATTGCTTTAACTTGTTCTGTTAATACTTGTATAATAGTTTCTATTGTTTAAAATACTACTTATCTAATTTCAGGAACAAGTGGTACCATCCAGTCAGCTAAGTAATAATCATAAATATCCTGAGGAGCTAACCATTTCTGATGATGAGATAGACGACGGAGGCACATTTGAAGATGAACCAGTATCTAATTTATTATTGAATGACAATGACACAGATGACTCCCAACCTCCGTGAATACCTATTGAATGAAGTTTATGTGCATGTGTACAATGTCCAGCACTATTCAACCTTTTCATGTATCACAATCACACAAAGTTTGATAGTTAGATTAGAGCTTATCAAGTTTTGTACAGGAACCACTCCAGATGACTCTTTCTTACAGTAAACATTATGTATATTTTGAACTAATGTTTCGAATTAGTATGAAACTTTAGTTTTACTATAAAAATCATATATTCAAAGGAAAAATATAGAATGTATGATGTTATTTTTTAATTCGAATGTTCTCTTTGTTAAGATTTCAAATGCGATAATTTAATACTCAGTTTATTTTAAAAATTGTACGAGAAAAAAAGAGACGAAATTAGAATTTCTTTTAAAGTAACGAGTAGTAAACTCAATTTACTGAAATGATGCAACGTCAATTAATATTAACCCTTTCGCTACGGACGGATTCTACGGCGCGGTACTCCCGCGGAACGGGCCGCCGCGCCACAAGTGTGCACTTGCGGAAGAACTAAAATCGCCTGTTGTACGTTCAATACCGTTGCATATTATGCAGAGTGTAAAACAAATGCCAAACAATTGCGGTGGGTTACCATGGAAATAACATATAAGGATTATTCGTGCAAACGCACGAGTAACTATAGTCACCGTCCGTATGCAGCGAGCATCAGACGTTGGGTGTCTATAGTCACCGCCCGTACGTAGCGAGCGTCAGGCGTTGGGTGACTATAGTCACCGCTCGTAGCGAAAGGGTTAAAGCAGTAAGTATTTTTATTAATATTTCATGCAATACTCAAATTTATTTTATATTTTTAATATCCAGATTCGCGTAATAAAAATAAGAAACATACAATATTCTATATACGACATATAATCGTACAATGTATTGTAAATTACTGTATTTATGTATTCTCTAAATATATGTGCTCAAAATAAATGCGTATGAAAGAAAGGAGCGAGTATATAAACAAAACTGAATGTGAGGAACTGTTAATTACAAGTCGGTGAACAGAATCCGGCGCTTCCTGGCCTCCATCACGTCCGGCAGCGGGGGATGCCCCGCACGACGGTAGGCCTCTTGACGCCCATAAACATCGGCCTCCGCCAGCAACTCAAAGGGTACAACCCCCGCTAGCACTATGGTCGCCTCGTGGGGGATGGTACAGTACCCCTGACAAGCCTGATGGCCATCCTCCGCTGTAAACTGCAGAGGACTTGCCTACCTCGTCGGCAGCGGGCCACCAGTTCGCCAGCCCACACGGGTGACCCATATAGGGCCATCGCTCGCACCACCCCCATGTAAAGCGGCGGACTCTCCCCTCCGGCCCCCCGATGTTGGGCAGGAGACGACCCAAAAGAGTCGCCACCCCGTCCATCCGAGGAACCAGACGGTCGAAGTGACCCTCGAAACGCCATCGGCTGTCGAGATCGAGGCCCAGGTATTTACCAACTTGGATCCGCGTCCTGGGTTGGATCCGCATTCTGTGGTGTAATGCCCAGCCCCAGGTCCGGGATCCTGGCGATGACGGTTGCCACCACCGCCTCTGTGGGGCGCGCAAACGCCGCCCAGTCCCTCCCCACCACGACTATGAGCGTGTAGTCCACGTATCAGGCGACGCTCGAGTCATGAGGGAGGGCCCTCCGCAGAACCGCGTCGTACCCCACATTTCAGAGGGTCGGACCCAGACTGGAACCTTGGGGCACGCCGCAGGTAATCGCTCATGACTAACCAACCTTTTTTTTTTTAACGGGGGAAACCTTGAAAAGGTGCAACGCCTTCGCTGGGGGGTGGGCCAATGCGGGATTTCAGCCGCTAAAACCCCCCCGGTGATCCTCTCGGGCGTGTGAGGGGGTCGTATGTCGTCCCACCACCTCCTACTTACAGCATCGAGAGGTCACCTGTTAGCGATGGTAATATGTATAGGGAACAATTGTTCAGAATGATGACCTTGACAACATATTTCAAGGTCAACGATATTGGTAGTGAGAAGCTTTTTGTAAATTATTACCAAGATAAAAAACATTTTTTCAGAATATCTCTGAAATTACTGCCGAGCGGTGGTAGTATGTATAAAAAAAAAAGTTTAAAATGACCTTGACAACATATTTTAAGGTAATCAAAATCGTTGACCAATCGCTAAAATACATAATAACCCTGATTTTGTACCATAGATACTGTTCAGTAAACAATTCCTCTGCAGTATTCGGTGTTGCATTTCTTCGAAAGTCGATTTATAGTGAGAATTTTTATGTCATCTAACACGCGAACAAGTTTCTAGAGTGTTATATGCTAGAATTACTTTCGGACTCGTATTTAAAAGTGAAACCGAATCATATGGAATCGAGTTTCAAACATTCGCTTGAGAATCGAAGTGGGGGATCGCAAGGTTTTATCATTTTCAAGTATATAATTTATGTAGTTTGTAGTTTGCAAGAATCTATGAGAACGATTAGCACTTTTAAACTGAAAGGGAAATGGCGAGCATTCTTAGTATGTTAGGCTCCCATATATTTTCACCCCAAATAAACAGTATTTCTTTATTCGATTTTTAAACAGTTCACTTCTTCTTTACATATTTATGCATACGAGTCTATTTTATTTAGTTTATACATATTTCAAATGAATTATAAAACACGATTAAGAGGACAATATATGTGTTTCATATCAGGTATTTGTTATGATTTTATACATGAAGCTAGTACAGCATATTTGGAATATCAGTTTGTTTAGAATGAATAAAAAATGACAACAGAGGATGGGAACAAATGAGACTGTATAATATCCTAAGGAAATTAATAAATTTTTATATTTCAATCTCTCAGTGATGATAAAAAACGGTCGTCCGTGTCCCTAAGCGACTACGGTGGTGAAATAAACACCGGTTGACCAATAATGTGTACTATGTACTATGTACAATAATATGTAATTATGTACTAAATGACACTGTGAAATTACAGATAAGAAAGATTGCAGTCATTAATTTTTAATTTCTCGTATGGGGATATTTATTTGTATTCTTATTTTAATTACAAGGAATAAACAGTATACAAGATTTATAATATTTAATAGTATAATTAATATATATATAGATAAATATAAATTAAATATATTGAGTTGTTGAAATCAATGCCACTACAAAATCGACTTTGTTTATTGCAAAAATTAAGGAAATTGAGTATAAGAATGTAAAGAAAAATGCGGTTCCCACATTTTTTATTTTAGAGTAATCTTTGCAAGGATATATATTCTTATATGGATGTTTTACAAAACGCGGAAGCAATAGTTGCTCCTTTTCACTTGAGTATTAGATTAACGACGCAGGAAGAAATTCATTTGAAACACCAGTTAACGAAATGTGCTTTATATTTTTCAAGCAAGATGCGCATGCTTGTGTTAGATTTACAGTACCTTATTAACTCTTGTGTTAGATTGTGATATAATTATGTCCTGTGTGTGATTGATCGTATCATTGTCTTCATTATCTTCGATTAATTACCATAAAAATGTGCATCTTTTCTTCGCGTAATCTAACCCGAGATCGTACACGATCAGAGAATGCGGAAACGATTGCGAAATTTCATGTTAACGCCATGATGAAACACTAAAAGCTGTCTGCGTTTCTTACCTAATTTATAGAAAAATCAGCACCCAAATATCAATTACTTTGTAACAATTATTGATGATTTTATAGTAGTAAGTAGATTGATGTTTATAGTAGTAAAGTTCTTGGCAATTGAATCAATTACTTCAAAAGTAAATAGAAAGTAATGTTGAATGCAAATAACTGAATATTAGTCTACTTTTCTTTCATAAATTGAGATAGACATTGTTCATTTATTGTAAAATAATGGGAAGAACATATAGTAATTGATATTGATATTCGTTTATGTACATAAATTATATATATATATATATATATTATGTATGTATGTAAATCGACCATAATTGCATAGAAATGGATATAAGAATTATATTTCATTTGTATTTAATTTTCAAAAGTGTAAAGGACTATATGAAACTGTATTTAAGTTTAACAATGATTTTAATGAAAGAAAGGTATTTAATTAATTCGCAATTATAGTACATAACAGATTGATTTTGTTCTAGGACTGTGGCATGATGGTAACAAGAAATTTAAAACATGTTGATGCCTTTCGCAAGTGAAACGTATACGGGATTTCATAATCATATCGCTCGAAATAAATGTACGAAGCCTGTTTCATCAGCTTTGGTGTTCATCGTGCTTTACCATCTCGGAAATCATATGACACGATGTCTGGTGTAATTCAAGCTAGAGGCCAGTTTTGCTGGTACAGAAATGCCGGGCGACAGTTTTGCAAGCAGTTTCGTGTTTCATGTAAAAGGACGACCACATTTCATTTTCATCGATCACATATATAGAAACTGTGGATCAATCCGTAAATCTGTCATTTATTGTTAATAATTTTACAATTGCGAATATATATTATTGTAATAGGCGTAGATACGACATGGAAAATGTCAACTAAAAGTTTATAAGGTGTTCGATGGTGTGTTCTAATTTGATAATATCTGGTAATACAGGGTGTCCGGTTATAAACGAAGCATGCAAACTACCGGAAAATTATTTACTGTATGAAAAAATGGTTCAGCCAAAAAGTGAATAGTTTCTAGGGGGACATAATTTGGTGTAATTAGTCATATGAAAGTAATTTACTCGAAACTTGTACACAACTGGTTATTGGGGCGAGTACTTGGATACTCGGATCCGAGTACGAATATCCGGATAGTAAAAGCTCTAGTATAAGAGTAAAATCATTTTAACCACTGTTTTCTTTATTTACCAAACTTAATCTGCTAATGCATACAATTAACACTTAATAAGTGTTTTATGTACGATCAGCCAAAACTTTAAGAAGGAACATGAATGTTTCATATTGGCTAGTTTGGAAAAGGTCAAAGTAGTAGATTTTTAAACCGGTTTCGGTTGACCTCGATATGTCTCTTGCAGTTTAATTTTTGTTGAATCCATGTTCGTAATATCCACATATGAAATCATATTTCCTTCTCGAAGAGGCAGCGAATTATGTAATAACAAAATTTGTTGAACAGAATATCTTTTTCAAATCTTTTGTATTTAGAAAGTAT